AAGATTTAAACTTCTTTCAGGGATTGCCCTTTTAAGAAGTTGGAATATGCTGTCTCTCTCATTTAACCCAGTAATCTGACAAACGGACATATTTTAGAGTACATGTGTATGTATATATATCACACGTGGAGTTCATCGATAAAACGAGACATCCGGGACTTATCAATGCACCAATCATTAACTTCACAAATGCTGTGATCAGAAAAGTATTTAGTATAAGACAGAGTTGCTGCTGAAAGCATTCTTTTTGTGAATTTCACTGTGTTTTCAAAAACTGTGTGTTTTTTTCACCAGCAGACATGCACATATGTTCAGTTTTTTCCTAATGGAAGGCTTAAAGGGAGCGTCTTAATTACACAGAAACGTTGCAAAATATTTTCATACGTTTCATATGATTTTTTTTTCTGCGTAAAACTGCAATCCTCCTTGTGCATGGTCATGAGCCAGGAAATACAAACTAAACAAAAGGTCTTCATCAATGTATACATGTACACTGTATAAAAAAATTTGAGCGTAAAAATAGCAAAGGAATTTAAATAAATATAATTTATTATTTGTAGCAAGTTTATATAATAGCCAAGAATGCCTGAGAATCTTCGTGCTTCAAAGGATTAGATCACAGGACTTAATCACTTTATTTCCCGGTGATTTTTTTTAAAAATAATATATGCCAACTTTTTATTTCGTCGTGAACATAAGTTGGGACGTCAAATTGTTATTTCAAGACCTAACTATTTTTTTCCGAACATTTCCTGGCAGAAAACTTGAGAATAACCTTATTGATACTTTTCAGAAATAATAATCAGCAACTCTTAGATGTATATTAATTTTTTTTTCAAAATTACCACAATTGCCAAGAAAAAAAAATAGTTACAAATATAATCTGTCCATGAATCTTCTCGCAAATGGCTTGGTAATCTTTCTGAAATTTCGCACAAATAATGCTCACCTACCCTGCTTGTGCCATTTATATATAAAATTTTTGAACTGGTATATATTGCCATAGAAACGGTTGAGCAAATTTTCCTCATGACAAGAGCTTGATTTTTTTCTTCCGGGAGATAGAAAATTTGTCGTCACGTGATCATTCTATCCAATAGCAACCTTTCGGGTCTTTCCGGCAAACTTGGAAAAGGTTTGCGATTATTGATCATAATGTACACTGTATTTGACGCCGTTCGAGACGACACTACGTTACAAAACTTTTGATAAATAGTGGCATTTAAATATTCTTGTTTGTGATATGACCGTTGACTAAATGGACTTCAAGTATTTTTCGGAAAGATGTGAATTTTGTGTCATAAAAGTGTATTTTTAAGATGTAGTGAGTCTTTGTTCCCTATTTCTGTGAACCAAAAATTTATATTTATAAGCAAAATTTGAGGATAAATTAAAAAGAAATGGAGATAAGACTTACTCAAATAAAAAAAATTATATGTTATTCTATGAGAAAAATGATCCCTTTTGCCCTCTTTAGTGTGTGTATGCTATTTCATAGGCAAATAATTTCAATCTTTGTGAAATTTTTGCAAAATGTGGAGATTTTACATGAAGTATTCTTTAATGATAGAAGAAACATCAATGAAAATTTTGATAAAATTGAGATTTAATTTTTTCATCTTCAATGTTTGTCGTATTATAGGCATTCTGCACGCCTTGTTCACCATTCTCCTTTATTGGAAAATTACTTTAAATCTGTCTCATTTTTACCCATGCTTCAATGGTGTCTTCTACCTATTCCCACTTTTTAAAAATGTCAATTCCACCTATTCCCACTTGCAAATAACAATAGATGTTTAAATACTAGTTAATTTGTTTTTATAGTAATTAGACTAATTACATCTCATCTTAGATTTACCTGTATTTTGTACAATTTAAGACAGAAAATAAATAGATTTATAAAAAAAATGATTCTTTTCAATTTTATTTATTTTAGAAAATAAAAAAGAGGTTAAAATTCTTTAATATCTTGATTATTTTTTAACATAAAATAAATAGATTCATGAAAAAATGCATTTAAATAGCTGGATTTTAGAAAATACAATAAATAGATTATTGGGAAAAATATCATTTAATTCACTTAAAAATCTCCAATTTTTCTTTCAAATACTAGTAAAAGTCTGATTTACATGTATATAAATTTTAAAAAAGCCTATTTACATGTACCTGTCCTCTATTCCAACAGGTGTTCAATAATTACTGTTTAAATGGTAATTATATGTTTACACAGTTAATTATTTGTTTACACAAAAATTCCACCCATTCCCACATAAAATCTTACCTTTTCCTACCTTATTTTCAAAAAGTGGGAATAGGTAGAATAAACCGCTTCAATTATCACATACAATAAACACTAGTACTACTTTTGAAAAAAAAAAGTTTGTTGTTCGGAGGGAAAGATATTTCGATAAATTATTGTATAATTTATTTTACAGTAAATGGTTAATAAGGGTTTTATTTTGAAAAGAAAAATACCAATATGGAATTGTGCAAAAATAGATAAATAGATTCATAACCCATCTACATGTTCTTGCAAAAGTTCGATGTAACTATCATATTACGATTACATTTTGTTTGAATTTTGGACAGTCTTTTTTTATGCCGTCCCTCTTCGAAGCTACATGTCAATGGAATTGTTTTGTTTTGACCAAATATTTTTTGTATAGTGTGTTTTTCTTAAATTTAACCTACACGTGTCTCTGGATTTTATGTCATTGTGAAATACTTATTTCGTAAGAAACACCATTTTCGTTTATCAGCCAGTATACACAGAGGCTCTTCCATCAATGAGGCGTACAATGACGTGCATATCAATAACACTATATTTAATTTACTTCATCCTACTTTAGATGATTATTTGTACAGATATAAGTATAAACAATAAAACTAGGTATGCTATTCACTGATATGATGTTACAGGGAATTCAACAACCTCGTTTAAATTCAGCATTTCGTAAATTTTATGGTCGTTGTAGTGACCTTGTTAATATAACCTATATCATTGGGTCGCATTTTGCCTGACTTGTTTCCTACCATTGTTAGACCCCTGTTTTTATACTTAATTTAACGAGGGAATTTTCCGTCTACTTGATCAATTCATAGGGCTCATGGCGGGATTGATCGGTTAACAGGGGATGCATACTCCCCCTAGGCACCTGATCCCACCTCTGGAATTTCCAGTAGTCCGTGTTTTATGTTCTCTTCACATATTTGTATTGTTTATAGATTTTTTGAGATTGATCTCTGTTCGTTATCTTCACCCGGGTTATGCATTTTGTCTTCAACAGCTGCAACATTAATTACCATACTAGCAACCGAAGATTAGCTTTTTTTTGTTTAAGAAAAGGGGGTGAGCGGGTGTAAATGTATCTTAACTCTGAAAAAGAATTTAAGCAGATTTGCAAAAACAGGTTAATAAACCTTTAGAACCATACATGTATTATTAAAAAAAATAGCCTTGTCATGTTTCAGTTACACTTTTTACAATTTTTTTTTCGGGGGGGGGGGGAGGGATGTCGATGTACTAATGATATTTAAGCACTTAGCAATACGTATATTGTGACCCCCTTCCCATTCTCAAACAAAGAGTGTGAAAGATCTCAAGTTCACTTAATTCTCTACTGGCCTAATTACTTGAAATTGACCTAACTAATTTTCATGATTAAAAAGATTACAATTATGAAATCTAATCCTTGTATTATATCTTGGCACTGCGCTATATGTAACAGCAGACGTAAGAGAACGGTACAATGGGTAAGTTTTCTTGTCACTGTGTTAACATAAAACTCATTTTTAATGTTTTAGATGGATATAGAACAATTAGGCTTTGTTTATTTATCTATTGAAAATAAAGCCTGTTAAAATGTCATTTATTGCTAACCCTTTGATCAATTACGTTACCCAATAAATGTTAAAATTTCTTATATTAATTATTTTCTTCCCTTTTTAATATCAATAAACAAAAATAATTGAATTAGTTACATGTAGGGGAAAAAGAATAATAAAGGGATATGGATGAAAAAAAAGTCTGTTTCCTATTCTCATAAGTATGAAAAAAAAGTATTTGTTAAATGATGAAGTTGCGTTTGATAATTTACCAGAAAACTTATGAAATACGTGCATGTTTTCTACTCATTTACGTGTATATTGAATTATAACATTCTTAATTAAAATAGAATATATAGAAATATCTTGTACAAGAAATTTTGTCGAACACAGAATGATTCGAATTCACTTGATCCATAATTTCTTTGGTGTATAATAGTATTTGGTTTGATCTAGACCAAATATTTTCACACATGATAATGAAATTCAACTGAAGTTTATTTCACACCACACATAACCCTTGTTACCCGAAACAATTCAGGTCATTTTAGACCAAAAATTAAAAATCTACATCGCATTCTTTTTTCCCTCCTGCCCCCCACCCGCGAATCTTTCTATAAAGGCCTAGCGGAAATGAAAGAATTTCTATTTATTTATAGGTGGCCTGACCCTGCTGGTGATTGCCTTTTTGGCTAGCACCACTACAGTTTTAGGTAAGAACATCATCCAAGAAAAATAACTGTATACTGGGCTATTTTCGCCCCGTGTTATTTTCGCCCTTTCATACTTCCTAACAATTTTGCCCTGCTTTAAATTCGCCCAGACAAGTTGTCTTACAGATAATACTGGCTTATTTGAATTCACCCCGCATTAAATTCACCCCGCTTTAAATTCGCCCACTTGCCACGAAAGCGAAACGGGCGAAATTAAAACCAAGGGGAAAATGTTTCCCTGTATACAGTATTCAATTTTCTATCTCTGGGCAACTATAATGAAGATTTAATGCTTTCTTTCCGTTGGTTTGGAGGCGGGAAGTTGTAGGGGAATGTTAGCAAAAATGTCATGGCAAATATGTACGTCTAAATGACGGAATGAGTATGAAAATGACTGTTGTTCTTAACAATAGCTATTTTTATAGGTCTCGATAGTGTTCTTGTCTCTCTTCTTTAGGGGCGCCCGACAATCGTGGTAAGGAGTTTGTCATTGGTTTTATGGATAACTACATCATGGGAGGTAATCTCCAGTGTGAGCTCTTCGTCACCACCGCCCGAACAACAAAAGTTAGTGTGAAAGTAGATTCCCCAAAGTGTTCCAACCCTAAAATCTCAGCTTCCTTCTCTATAACAGCTGGTCAAGTTAAACAACTCCTCTTTAATTATAAAATAAGAATGATCGGATCAGCGAAAGGCAGCAAAGGTAACCAGAAAATCTCCATTTTTATTTTCTTTCTTTATTTTCTGTCTTTTTTCGATATTCTTTATGTATACAAGTTTGATCACAATTTTAGAACCGTTACATCTAGTCAAAAGGTTAAGTTATGTTAATTTCATAATATACATACTATTCATTTGAAAGGTATCTGGGTCACGGCCTCGGACGAAATAGTAATTTATGGCGTTAACAAAGAACATTATTCCAATGATGGTTTCGTGGGTCTTCCCACCGATGTTTTGTCCGATGAATACTATGTCGTCACGTGGTACCCTCCATACAGACAATGTGAATTGCTGGTTGTTGGAGTTGAAGATTCCACAAAAGTCACTATTACTTTGGGTCAGTACATGGGAAGTAGGTATGTTAGCTATAACAGAAAGAATTATAAAAAAGGCAACTCTATATCAGAGAATCTGAACAAATTCGACACGTGGCAGCTTGTCACTAATGGCGACCTGAGCGGAAGTAAAATTACCTCTAATAAAAAGATATCCGTGTTCTCTGGGAACAAGAAAACGAACATAGGCAGAGGCTCTTCTCAGGATCATTTGGTAGAGCACATGACTCCCGTCAACACATGGGGTAAAAAGTTTGCAACTGTACCGATTCCGAAGAGAACCGTCGGGGATTACTTTAAATTCATTGCCAGCGAGGACAATACGAGAGTCACTATATCAGGTGGTTACTCATCATCATTTACAATATCTAAGGCGGGAGGCGTGGTGCAGAAGCTTATCTCCTCCAAAGCTTATTGTAGGGTAGTTGCAGACAAGCCTATCATGCTTGTCCAATTTGTCCAATCCCAACAGAGCTCCTCTGAACCATCTGACCCAGCCATGATGATCATTCCTCCTTGTGAACAATATGGTGCTGACTATACGTTCTCTACTCCAAAATATTCCGCCGGATCCTATGAAAATTACTTCATGTTCATTGTTGAGGAAAAGGAAGCGTCCGGTCTGAGAATTAACGGCAAGGCGTTCCCCACCAATACCAAATTTCAGCGGATCTCGGGAACTACTCTTGTAGGAGGATACATCTCTATACCTGAGGGGACTCACACAGTTCGTCATACGTCTCCTATTGCTATTTTTGGAGGGTTTTTATACGGAAAGGCTCCTTATGAAACGTATGGGTTTACAACTGGTATGAGAATGGCAAAAGTTAATGCTGTAAGTAACAAGTTTTTGTTTTCTTTCTATGTCAAAAGAGACGGATAAATGTATCTCTATGTACGTAAATGCATGTTTGAAAAAGTGCAAAGCTGTTTTTAGAACTTTTAAAAATGAAATAAAGAGAGAGAGAGAGAGGGAAAAACAAAATAAATGTAATTATTTATACAAATGTATGAAGGATTTCTCTACTCTGCACACCAATTTCGGGGTACTTTAAAAAAATTGTAATTAGATTGTTCCACCCTTTTCTATGAAATAAAAGAAATCGCAATATGCACCGTTAATTTTACATAATTTCTAATCAAATCGAGTATTCTAAACAATATATTGAACCAAGATGGAGTAATTAAAAACTTTATTTGCATGTGATTTACCCATTTGACTAAGCACACGCTTTTTCTTTATCAATACGAGGGGTGATCAAAAAGTTCGCGAACTAATTTATAATTGAATTACTTCCTTAAAAGAAATAAAATGAGATTTCAGTGTTTATTATTTTTTAAAGTAGTCCTATCCGATTTTAATGCACATCTGCCATTGCTCTGCCCATGCGCGAATCACGTGATCCAGTCACGTGACTTGCTCCATAGCAGTCTGTTCACAGAAGCTTAAAGATTTTTCAGAGTCTTATATTTCTTACCATGCAAGTTATTTTTCATGACAAGAACAGTCCATCTGTCAGAAATGGCCAAGTCTCGGCAATAGGATGGGAGGATAAGGATATCCCTTCCCACAATTAGTATGGTGACCCATCACAACCCGAGTCCTCTGTCTCGGGAGCGTCGTTTATCCAATGTGGATAAAGTAAGGGCGCCTTCTTTTTATCATATCTCATATGTTTAAAGTGTAAAGTAGACGATATTTTAGGGATTTAATAATTATATTATTGTTAAGATATTCAGCCATTTTTCGAATTGTAACTTGACGATGTTTCTTAACAAACTAATCACATCTACTAAGAACACATCTTTTCCCCGGCTTGCTTTCGCTGGGCAACAGAAAACATCATTTTTAACGATCTCCCTGCCTTCACGTAAACAATCAATCCAATTAATGATTGAACTTCTGGTAAGTCTTTTGTCTTCATAAACCTTGTACAAATTATTATATTCTACTGCAAAAGAATTTCCAAGATATACGTTAAACTTTACAGCCGTTCGTTGCTCGAGTACGACTGCGTCAACCATTTTTTGTCACAAGTGACCTAAATATTGACGTCATTTTCACATTGTGACATCACATACACGGAGCAAAACATTATTTAATATCTGCTATTTATAGAACATGCGTATGACTATATGTGTGCCAAATTTCATTCTGATCTGAATTGTAATTTTTGTAAATATAGAGATAGTTCGCGAACATTTTGATCACCCCTCGATCGGACTTCGTTGTCTTTAGAGAATTTTTCATGGGTAAAGAAGGCAAAGATTTTAATGTATACTCTTTTTATTACATTATATAATGTTATCAAGGTCCTTAAAAGTGTACGTGTTATCTCTTTAAGATTTGTATTTCTATGCCGATTGATGTTATAAATATCCATATTGTTTGTAATATCACTTAGATTTGTATTCCTACACCGACTGTAACGGGTGACGGTATTGACAACGATTGTGACGGCAAGATTGACGAGGAACTATGTACACCGGAAAACAAAAATAAAGGTTAGAATTATATAATAGACAATATAAACAAGATCTATTCGGGATTTTCTGTCTAAGATTGCTGATTTTAAATTTCTTAAGTTGATTTGTTTATGTATTTATCGATTCATTTTTTGTGTTTGTACGTGGTAGATGAAAAAAGAAATCGAAATCATTTGCATTAATATCATGTCCATCATGACTGTTAATTCATCTTTATCATTAATCTAATCATAAGAAAATTATCTAATATAATCATCATTTGTTTCTAAAAGATGACGACGGCGATGGAAAAGTTAACGAAGACTGCGCTAAACCTCCACCAAGTAAGAGATTTCATTGAAAGAAAACATCTGTGTTACATTCTCCAAAACGAACATGTTTTGACCGACCATTTATATTTATTTTAGTTGATGGTAAATGGACAAGTTGGACTTCCTATGGCGCATGCTCAGTGACATGTCAGCCAACGTCTCGCAGAGTAACTGGAACTAAAACCCGAACCCGAAGCTGTTCAAATCCGGCCCCTGCATATGATGGGAAACAGTGTGATGGTTCAGGGACTCAGACTTCATCTTGCTCGCCTACCAATCCCTGCAGAGGTATTAATCCATAAATTCCAATACCTGTTTAATTCAATAAACATGTTCTCGAAATCTTGTCGAAAACTATGAATTACAAAGCAAGCAATGTACTCATTTTCTGATTTCCTATCAGAATGAAAAAAAATACTAGTATATGAACAGTGAAATCATTTTTTTTTTGTTTAGAATAAAAAATATTCACAGAGTAATTTAAATAAAATTCCAAATTTTAGTTGACGGAAAGTGGGGATCCTGGGGGTCATATGGCGCATGTTCTGTGACTTGCGGAAGTGGCTCAAAATCCCGTTCAAGATCCTGTAACAACCCTGCCCCAGCAGGAGGCGGAAGTAACTGTGCTGGAAGCTCTACGTCAACTGCAACGTGCACATTGTCTGCTTGTCCAAGTAAGTTTTTCATTTTAACCATCTTTGCTTTTGAGATTTAATACATATAACAAGTATACATATGTTTGCAAGAACTCAAACCGGTATAAAGGTATCAAAGAATATTAACGAAATCTTCAACAAGCTCAAGCGAGTCACATTAATTGTTCCTTCATTTCAGTTGACGGTAAATGGGGCTCCTGGGGATCATACGGGTCCTGTTCTAAAACTTGTGGTGGAGGGACACAATCAAGAAGTCGGTCCTGCTCTAACCCCGCCCCTCGATATGGCGGGAGATCTTGTTCTGGATCCACTTCGTCATCTCAAAGTTGTAACACACACAACTGTCCAAGTGAGTGATTAATTTCAACTCAGCAAAAGTAGTAATTTATTTTTTGACATGGGAAGTCAATTTGCAAACTAAAAAATCAGTAGAATTTATCATCGATACTTTCTAGGAGGTAGTTTTCGTAATAATTCATAGTGCATGACAAATAAATTTTCTTGATTTTATCAGTTGATGGAAAGTGGGCCTCATGGGGATCCTACGGCGCATGCTCCTTGACCTGTGGTGGTGGTGTTCAAACAAGAAGCAGAAGCTGTAGCAACCCTGCCCCGCGGTATCAAGGAAAGAGTTGTGCGGGTTCTGGGACCTCGTCTCGAAGCTGCAACACAGCTAGTTGTCCAAGTAAGCAAACACATCATGAAATGATATTAATGTATTCAAATAATATATTCCTATCAACTCAAAGTTTTACAAAGAAAACTTGGTTCACAATAAGCAGGAATAGCCCTGACAATGTTTTCCGATCATGACAATGAGCACACGGTGGGTGTGACCGGTCGGCAGAGGATGCTCCCTCCTCCATGGCACCGACCACACTTCTGATGTTTTTAGAGGTCCGTGTTTCCTCTGCACCTGATTTGTATTGTTTAATGGACTTTTGAGCTCGAATACTGTTCGACATCTCCCTGTATTTCATTCCATTAAATGACAGCCACGACATTATATCAAAACATCACACATACCAAGTTTTAAAGAAGAAACTCCATGTTTTCATTTTTCTTCCATTAGAACTCATTCTTGAACCTTGATGAACTCCCTATAGGTAAATATAGTGCAGTCTGTACTTTGATTTTCTTATTTTCCTTATTTGACGGTAACTAGGGATTACCTAGAATCATTTGTTTCGCTGATGACCTCTCCAAAAGAGTAAATGTCATAGCTAAAATACGTTAAAATACAATAGATCATTATTTCATACATTTCTCTTCAGTTGACGGTAAATGGGGATCGTGGAGTTCCTATGGAGCCTGTACATTGACCTGTGGCGGAGGAAGACAAACCAGAAGTCGGTCATGCTCTAACCCCGCCCCTCGATATGGCGGAAAATCTTGCTCTGGATCCACCACCTCAACACGAAGTTGTAACACACATTACTGTCCCAGTAAGTTTTAAACCTGCTTGCTCTGACACTTTTTTAGCTTCTTTTTGCGATAACTTCAATAAGTCCTGCTCGCAGATACTACCAATTCCAAAGTCTTCACTCACATTTTAAGGTTATACAATAATAAGGTTGTTCATTCGCGAATAGTCACATATAATTTAAAGGTTACTACCAACAACATCCTGATTAAGCCTTCCCACAGATCATTATTCAGTGATCTGAAAAAGATCTTTCTGTTTCTTTGGCATAACGTTCATATGTTTCTATGGATTAAGTGGTTATGCTATCTAATTAGACTCACGGAAAAATCTGTTTTAATCAACGTACCCTAAAAGCAAGATTTAAAAAATATTTTTTTCAGTTGATGGTAAATGGGCATCGTGGGGATCCTACGGATCGTGTACAATCACTTGTGGCGGTGGCACACAGAGAAGAAGCAGGACCTGTTCAAACCCGGCCCCGAAATATCTAGGAAAGGACTGTCCAGGGTCTTCTAGTTCTTCACGAAGTTGTAACACACACAACTGTCCAAGTACGTTGAATGTGGAAAATGAATGTTTAGTTTAATTTTGTGATGTTTCACAAACAAAGATCTATTTTATTCTGATTTACCGACTATCTGCCCACCTCATGCAAATCATCAAACAAACATAAGCTTAAGGACCCTCTCTACACTGCACCCTATTTTCAGGGTACTTTTGTGTAATTAGACTGACCCACCATTTGACATATAAGTAGAATAAATTGTAATCTGAACTGTATCACATAATTTAAAATAAATCAATGTATTCTAAACATTATATTAGACCAAGATAGAGTATTTAAAAACTTTATTTGCATGTATTTTATCCATTTGAATAAGCGAAGGCAATTTTTCTTTTCTATTACTTCATTGTCTTTGAAGATTTTTCCTGAATAAAAGAGGCACGCTCCCTATATTGAAAATGAGTCAGTGAATTTCAAAATATCCTCCTTTATGTTATATAATTTTCTCAAAGTCCAAAAAACATTTTTCATCAATGTACAGAGGGTCCTTAAAATTGAATTTTTGCACAGTTGATGGCAAATGGGGGTCTTGGGGATCATATGGATCATGCACAGTCACTTGTGGTGGTGGCACGCAGAGACGAAGCAGGTCATGTTCCAATCCAGCGCCAAGATATCTAGGAAAGGACTGTCCCGGATCTTCTAGCTCTTCTAGACAGTGTAACACCCACTTCTGTCCAAGTATGTATGCTAAATTAGTTTAATGCTTCCTAAAACATTTTAATTCTGAATACTTCCTGGATCTCCGTTTATGTTACCCGAATGTTTATCTTATCCAGTTGACGGAGCGTGGACCTCTTGGGGAAGATACGGCTCCTGCACCGTGACCTGTGGGGGAGGGACTCAGGTCAGAAGTAGGTCATGTACTAACCCACGCCCTCAGTACTTTGGAAAAGACTGTGCGGGACAAACAACTTCATCAAGAAGTTGTAACACACATCACTGTCCAAGTAAGAATAATTATAATTTCCTTCTTTTTCAAACACGTCACTAAAAGGGAGTTAGAAACAATTGGCAGATAATGTGGAGCGTTGTGAAGTGGTAGTTTTATCTGGTGTATTGGATATTATTTTTCATGTCTTTTGTAGGATTTATTTAAATACTGATAGAGATTACATCCTTGGGATGCAAATGGTACTGCAGCCTGACTATATTTAAATGAAATAGTTCTTTGTAGTTAGATACACATCCAAAAGGGATTTTTTTTTTCACTCATATCCAGTCTTACGATATCGGTGAAAAAATTGGAAGCATGCACTTCAACCAGTCTGTATCTGTATTGAGCTGAGTGGCCGAAAAATCCTAAAGCGTAAGAAATTGCCTATTTTTTTATATTTTAGTCGACGGTTTCTGGGCCGGCTGGGGATCTTGGGCCACTTGTACAGAAACGTGTGGAGGCGGAATCCAAACCCGATCCCGATCTTGCAGTAACCCCACTCCACAATATGGCGGCGCGTTTTGTTCAGGGTTTTCTTCCGACACTCAACGATGTAACACACAAAACTGCCCAAGTAAGCAAACATGCTCAAAAACCTATGTTTTTAATTTCATATTTTACCAATCTTTAAAAAAATCTGCTGTAATCAATGAATTTCAGTCAATGGAGCCTGGAATTCGTGGTCTAGATGGGGCTCTTGTACAGTAACGTGCGGGGGAGGAACACAGAAGCGATCACGAAGCTGTTCAAGTCCCACCCCTCAATACGGAGGACTGGACTGTGCTGGATCAAAACAATCTAGCCAGACCTGCAACACTCATCACTGTCCAAGTATGCATCTTTTGAATAATCTTAATAATTATACCCCCGCTCGAAAGAAGCGCGGGGTATACGCATAATAACAATTTCTCTTTAATCCGGAGGCGGAAGATTAAGCTGATTTCTTGAATTGCTTTTATATGTCTTACTCGATGTGACACATATTTCCGCGGAAATTTTGTGATCGCGTACATAGTGTTACATCCCAAGCGGAAAAGGTATGACTTCAATTCAAAACTAGTTTAATTAATACCTTTTTCTTGATTTTTGTTTGATAAGTTGATGGCGGTTTCTCTAACTGGGGATCCTGGGGCACCTGCACCGTAACTTGTGGCGGAGGAACACAGGTGCGCACGCGCAGTTGTTCTAATCCAACTCCACAATATGGCGGTGCACCATGTTCAGGGGTGACAAGTCAAAACCAAGACTGTAACACACAAGTCTGCATTAGTAAGTTATGTTCGGATTTGAACAAATAATGTACGGAAAAAAATGCATTTAAATCATATTAAAGGGGTTTTTCTTCCCTTTTTTTTTGTTGATTTGTGCATTTACATTTATTTGAATAAAAGTATAAAATATTCCATATCGTCAGAAAACTTCTTCAAATGTTTACAACAAAATTATAGAAAAAAAAAACTTCATCATATGACACTTTCGTTTGATGTTTTAGGGCGTTTTAAGATGAACTATCCATGTACATTGACCTCTTTATATTGTAATTTCACAGTTGATGGAGCGTGGAGTACATGGGGAGCCTGGGGGTCGTGCTCTGTGTCTTGTGGTGGCGGAAAGAGATCACGTGCTCGCACTTGCTCTAACCCCAAACCGGCTAATGGTGGAAAATCGTGTTCCGGGTCTTTGAAAGAATTGGGAGACTGCAACAGTCAGTTTTGCCCGACCCCAGCTGCGGGGACATACGTACAGGTAAGGTATATTGGGAAGCAGAACATACATGTACTTAAAGGTAGAACAAAGAGAGAGGGATTACACTTGTACAGACGTGTAAGAAGAACCTGAAGTAGCATATTTACTGTGATTATAGTTAGTCAGAAAGTCATGAGGAAATGAAAAGGCACATAATCTTTGCTTTTGCTAGCAATTGCTAATGTCACTATGACTGGCCTACCTCCATTATCATGGTAATGGCTGCTAGCATCAATACATCTGGTATTATTTCCGAGGAATATTGAAGTTTCTATTTTTGAAAAATTGAAAAATTTATAAGCACTATACTAATTTAATAGTTCATGTATATTTCAGCCGTGCCCCATCCGGTGGTGCACTCAGTGTGATTGTTCTATTTCAGTTATGTCCCACCGGTTGGTTCACGTGTCAATCAGGAGGCATCACGTGTATAGACAAATCATTTGTTTGTGATTGTTCAAACGATTGTGACGACGGAAGTGACGAAACAGTCGGTTATGCCGGATGTTCTGGCGCTGTGATAGCGATGTGTGAAGAAAACGGTTCAGGTTAGTAAAGTTTATGTCTACAATTTTTTCATATTGATTGAAAAAGATTTCTTTGGTTCGTAATTCAAGTAATCATACTGTTTGTATTTACGAATTTCAGCGGCGTTAGTGACGTCACCAGTCCTGGTTCTGTTCTTATTGATGTTGGGATTGTATCAAATGTTGTAACAAACAGAGACGTGGACCACATCGTATTATATTGTATTTTATTGCATTACATCCCCAAAGATTCAATATGAAGTCAAATTTGAACTCGACATAAGATTCTCTAAGTGCACTACTTTAAAAAAAAAAAGATACTGCAAAAAATAACCAAATACACCGAGGACACAACAAAGTCATCAAAGTGGCCAAGGCAAGAAAACTAAGATGGAAGAATAATGCAGTTGATATTTTTGTATGGTAGGACAGAGACAAGATTTTTCCTTATTCATTGGTCAGCACTGTCTATAAAAATTGGTTATTGTGCAGGTAACGAGAACATGCGCCATACGACAACCAGTATTTTTAGAATTGATTCAAATTTGATTTTATATGAATCTTAACATGATCGTTGAACAAAGATGGTCTTTAATGTTTGTGGAAGTGTTGATCATTATGTTTTCCATTCAGAACAATGTTTCAACAACTTTGGATATTCACCGTTGTTGTTCCAAATTCACCTCAATTCTAACTACGGTAGCTTTAAAGATAGTTGTAGGAGTGTTTTAGACCATATATGTGTTGTTACATTCTTTTATAGCTTACTTTTTTATCTTTAACATTAAATGTTGAGCCAAAACTGTTCACAAGGATTTATTGTTTGTTTTCGACAATTGGTCATTAGCATATATAGTCCTAGGAACAGAGAAGAATATAAATCTGGAATACTATAATATTTGTAGAGAAAAATTTTTGATTAATTCGTCTACATTGTTAACCAGGGTCGGATTCATTCAAGGAGCAAATATTTTCCAAATTAAATTTTCATTATTGAACCGATGAAAACTACCTACAATAAAACACAGTCACTTGTATATATTATAAGTGCCAAAAACATGTTAAGGATCAGTAAGAAATGGGATGGGGTATTTTCTCCTGGAAAGAAGATTAGTATATAAGATAAAGCGCCGGAACTTAAACTTTACTTGAATGGACATCTTTTATTTATTTTTTTATATCTTAACATCGATATCTTCCCTAGTCAAGGATTTCCGATCCACTCCGCTTCACATAAATCCTTGACCAAATAAACTGACTTTGACGAGGTTAGAAATGCGCTTTATGATTGGCCACATAAAAGTTTGTATGAGCCAATCAAAACATTGTTTTATCTAACATGAAACAAATTTGTAAACAGTAAAAAAAAAAAAACAAAAAAAAAAGGGAAGTTATATTCCCAACAAAAACGTCTTTACCATTAAATAATCGAGTTAAAGACTTGTCTTAGCCTTAGAGTTAGTTTTTGCTGAATTGGTAACCGAGTTCCAATATTGCCTCGGATTTTCCACTCTTGTTGGATAATAGCAGAGGTCAAGAAGATTCAAACTGTATAATCTCACTAGGTGGCTCGATAGTAAATCCAATCGGTCTATTCCGTCAAGGGCGGAGTAGATCAGAAATCCTTGACTTGGGAAGAAGATATTTCATATGGATATTCACGTAATAGCTATCATATGACAAACATAAAGTAACAAAACATGATTTTTACGTAAGTGTTCTTGCATGTATACTTAACATGTTAAAACGCATATGTACAAGTATGTTTAACGATTAAATATACAACACGTACATATCATACATTGATATACTAACTAGTCTATTACTCGTATAATCTAATTAAGCTAACTGTGATGGTTTGATATACATAACACTATAAAAATAAAACATGCATGTATTAATTTACGATTACAATGTTTTATATAGCATAGGTACTTGCATAGATCACCGTCGCTCCATTATCCAGAAAGCAGGAATGAGAGCGAAGAGAGATACGCGTTATAGCAGGTGCGTGATCAGCTCCAGAAGGTGGCGGGGCAATTCGTTTCCATTACACCTAGAATCAAAACAATGACTTATCACTGATTAAATGAAATCTTTGACATGACTGCTGTGAAGTACTTATTTACAAGTTTTATGTACTAACAGCAATGGTGACAATGTCTCAAAACGATAACAAGCAAAATGCCCTAACATGTCGCTTAGAAGTCACTTAGTGCCAAATTGCAAGGCTACCAGTCTAGACGAACTCCAAAAACAGCGTTTCCGGAAGTAAGGAATTGAAACTGAAAAAGACTCCGAAAATAGAGTCCGCGCATGCACACACACAAAAAAAGGCGATTTTTCGGCAAAATGATGGGTCTACAAAAACTGTCCATGCAAAGTTTTGAAAAGTATGGCAATTATGCCAGTACTCAGAAATGCTAAACAAAAGACTTCGGAAGAGATCGTATTTGTCAGATTTTTTATTTTATTTGCAAAAAAGGAGATATTTACTTTCAAAGTTAACGTTACAAGTCAGATCAATTACAGAGAAAATGATACGTTTTGAGAAGTAAATATGCATAATAAAAGGGATATGTATACAAAATGGGACATATATATTGTAACTGTTCAAAAAATTGACTGAATTTTACACATAAATTAGCATTCCGGTTTTTTATTTGTGTACGACATGGGAATTGAACGCGTAAGTTCTTACCATTGTTATTTACCAATTTTTTATCACATACGAAGAGATATTATTATAAAAACATTTTTAAAACTATTTTCTTTTAATATTAAAACTTTAAAAACCACTCTTCTAGATATTAAGGGCACAACATGTCTTCTAAAAATGAACCTGTTAATATCTCTGCTCTGTGGTGAAAAATGCGCATTTTCCGATTAAAATAAATACAAGCTGGATGTCTTCAAAAACAAATAAAAGCACCTTTATTGTAGGAACGACATAAAATTTAAATCAAGGGGACAATAAATTAAATAAGAAAATATTTCTTACCGGCAGTATTGAATTCGATGTCGTATATCCAGTTCACTATTATGCAAGAGTTTGAAGCAATAAATAAGTCAATATCCACAAAATAATTTAATGAATGCAATTATAAATCCATTCAACAAAAAATAAAATGAAGTAACAATGCACTTAATACAGCAATTATGCAGCTGTATATTTAGAGAAAGCGAACGACAATCCATCGTTTGTTTACATCGGACGCCATTTTGCCGCAATGCATGATGGAGCCAGACTTCGTTTTCGGAGTTCACGCTGTTTTTGGAGTTCGTCTAGACTGGCTACCGCGAGGGAATTCTTATTTTTAGAGCGACTCTGTGCACTAGGGACAGTTTTCACTGGTACACCGGGTTCGTCACACTTCCGGTTGCCACAATTTTACAATCACCTATGCAGAGTTGTCGTTCTTTCCAGTTTCAGACAATGTGAATGTATGAGCTGATGGTTGAGAGTGACAATTTTACGGTACAATCTTTCAATATGTGTATTAAATGTCGTGTTTAACTTTAGACCGTATTTTAAATAACACTCCTTCATTTCGTCAAAGTATTTCTCAGCCAATAGAAATAACAATGTTTAAATTGTTTTATTTGTAAACAGGAATATCTTGCAGACAAAATGCTTGTCTTAAAAAATGTCTTTAAAGTTACCACGCTCTTCCACGGCCAAAAGTTGCATATCCAGGCATGCTTTTTTCTGAGTTTGTAATGAATGCAAACATCAAGAACACTAAAGAACACGTACATTTTTAAAAAAGAAAATTGAAATTTATTCCTCTAAAACTAATGAGATTTTCGTGCTTTTCTATGAAATATATGGAGATAACGAACAGTATTCAAGCTCAAAAGTCCATTATACAATACAAAATAGGAGCAGAGCAAACACGGACCTCCAAACATCAGAGGTGGGATCAGGTGCCATGGAGGAGTGAGCATCCCCTGCCGACTGGTTACACCCGCCGTGTGCTCCTTGTCATGATCGGGAAATAATGGAAAAATTCGTCGACAATTCAGTGTGTAAATAATGGCCTAACAATTAGTATGAAAAACGTCAGTCAGCATTTGACTGAATGATAAATTGTATTTGCTGACAAGGTCATTGTATCGACCAAAGAACTTACGAAATGATGACTTTAAACGAGACAGCTGATATTCTTGTTTCATCAACTTATTTGTCAATAATTTACCTCGCTTTAGAAATTGTACATACGTAGAGCATGCTCTTGCTTATCGAATCAACTGAGAGATATATACCCCATATGCAGGTGATGAAGGTATATTGCTGTAGAAGTAAGGGAAGTTGACGATTGAAAAGTTAAAGTCATCACGTTTATCATAAAGCTTGGTTGTTAGATTACCATTAACGTCTTTTTCAAGTAAAATATCCAAATATGAAACAGATGTGTCAGACTCTGTGGTATCTTTTATCTCAAGTTCACCAGGATATATCGTATCGACATAAGAATGAAAATAGCCATTGTTGATTGACAATACGTCGTCGATATATCTAAATGTCGAGTTGAACGCCACAGCAAGTGTTTTCTTCTTTTCACGTACAAGATTTTGGACAAATTCTGCTTCATATGAATACAAAAACAAGAGGCCCATGGGCCACATCGCTCACCTGAGTAACTTTGGCCATGCTGTTCATTACCAGACTCCCCCCTTGTAATACCTATTGTGGCCCCACCCTCCCCCCCCAGGGGCCATGATTTGAACAATTTAGAATCTACACTACCCCAGGATGCTTCCACATAAGTTTCAGTTTTTCTGGTCCAGTGGTTCTTGAGAAGATTTTTCCTATATATTTCAATGTAAAACTTGGGATTCCCCCTATTGTGGCCCCGCCCTATCCCCTGGGTCATGATTTGAACAATTTAGAGTGTACACTACTTGAGGATGCTTCCACATAAGTTTCAGCTTTTCTGGCCCAGTGGTTCTTGAGAAGAAGATTTTTAAAGATTTTTCCTATATATTTCAATGTAAAACTTGTATTTTCTATTGTGGCCCCGCCCTACCCCCGGGGGTCATGATTTGAACAATTTAGAATCTACACTACCCCAGGATGCTTCCACATAAGTTTCAGCTTTTCTGGCCCAGTGGTTCTTGAGAAGAAGATTTTAAAAGATTTTTCCTATACATATTTCAATGTAAAACTTGGATTCCCTATTGTGACCCCGCCCTACCCCCGGGGGTCATGATTTGAACAATTTAGAATCTACACTATCCCAGGATGCTTTCACATAAGTTTCAGCTTTTCTGGCCCAGTGGTTCTTGAGAAGAAGATTTTTAAAGATTTTTCCTATATATTTCTATGTAAAACATTGATTCCACATTGTGGCCCCGCCCTACCCCCGGGGGTCATGATTTGAACAATTTAGAATTTACACTACCCCAGGATGCTTCCATATAAGTTTCAGCTTTACTGGCCCAGTGGTTCTTGAGAAGAAGATTTTTTAATGACCCCACCCTATTTTTGTCTTCTCTTGATTATCTCCCCTTGTGAGGGGACTTGGCCCTTCATTTTAACAATTTAAATTCCCCTTTACCCAGGGATGCTTTGTACCAAGTTTGGTCAAAATTGGCCCAGTGGTTCTTGAGAAGAAGTCAAAACTGTGAAAAGTTTACAGACGGACGGACAGACAGACGGACAGACAGACGGACAGACGGACAGACGGACGGACGGACGACGGACAAAATGTGATTAGAAAAGCTCACTTGAGCCTTCGGCTCAGGTGAGCTAAAAAGGTCTGCTAATAACGGGGCGCAATTGGTACCCATAGGAATTCTAATAGATTGTTGGAAGACCTAGTCTCCAAAAACCACATAGATATTGTCAATCAGAAACTCAAGCATCCTTTTAATGTCAACTTCAGAGTACTTGTGTGTACAATCAGAATGTTTTTTTAACAAAATAATTTTGCAAATGACCAATGACAAGGTAAGTATATTTACGAGTTCCATTTTTATTGAAAAAGCAGCTGTCAATGATATCAAAAAGCCTGGACTTTAATTTATCGTGGGGAATGGTTGTGTATAAAGTTGAAAAGTCGTAAGTTTTTAAGCTGTTGATTTTGGTAGAATCTTGTGATTTCAAATTTTCCAAAAGTTCCTTAATGAATGCGCTTTAGTTATCATTTTATATTTAGTGACTAGTGTTGGCATTTTACTTTAAATTATGGTTACATATTAATATATCAGATATTTATTAAACAACTCATGAAAAGTTAAAATTAATTTTCTATGATTATGCGTAAGAGATTTTGTCTATTGTATGTGTACATTTAAAAGTTCTTTCATAGAACCAAGCCCATATGATTGATTAGATAACAACTAACCCAAAATCATATTCAGAAATTTCAAGTCTGAGAAAGGGTTGAAAAATTGAAGAAATGTTTTAAGGTCGAGGTCAGACCAACAAATAAACCTCTACCTTTGTCAAATACAAAAATTTAAACTCAAAGATCTAAAAAAAATGATTACCATAAAATCTTGGACCAAAATAGAAATGAACAATTAATGAGACAGTTAGCCCTCTCTGTTTCCTCATGAACTCTAAATATCAATATAATACACACTCATTCCCACCTTTCTTTTAAACCTAATTTGAAGTAAACACTTGCCCTAGCCCTATGATGTTCTCATTACTGAACAAAGAAAAAAAGAACACAAGACATGCTTTTTTTCAAATTTGCTGCATTTTAATGACACACACTCAGGTATATAAAACTAATTTCGAAAATTTAACACAATAATAATGAAACACATGAAAACTGGAATCTCTCTGTAAAAGATTTCATTTATTTATTTGGTTAGTGAAATGAAGATGCAATTTTTGGTATTGGTAAGCCGCTGGTCCGGAGTCCATCTATCCGTCTAGTGAATGAAGTAAGCAAATACTACACTGAGAAGAGTGGCTAACAAGATCAGGGGCGACGAGAAAACTCGAGCTGAAAAAGACATAAATAATACGATTTCATTGTCATGACAGTAACATTCGGCATAAACTATGTGCTTATTTCCAATAACCATGTATAACATGTTCAACTGATTGTATTTTATAAGTCTAAGTTGTTATTACATCAAATACAACTTACCTGATCCAGCTTTGCAAGTGTCTTTGAATCCGGCAGGACAGGAAGCGTACGTCTCTGACTCGTCACTTCCGTCATCGCAGTCATTGGAGCAATCACATTTAAAGGAGGAGTCTATACACGTGATACCGCCTGACTGACAGGTAAACCAGCCAACTGGACAAAGCTGAATAAGAAGTTATTTGTGAATAACTCATACATCACAACGTTTTGTTTTTGTTTTTTTTTTTTTGTTTTTTTGTTTTTTTTTTTTTTTAAATTTTTCTAACTATATTTATACGGTAATTTTCCCAGACAAAATGATGGTATTACGTGTTTTGAAAACATGGAAGTTTCCAATAGTTATGATGTAACGGTGTCTTTTCAGTCTTCTTTCAAAGACGGTAAAACATACAAATAGAGATCATTTGTTGTATGACAGATGTAGTAATTCAAATAGAGGATGAACGATTGGGACGATCGAAGTTTGAGTTGCTTTACACATAGATGATGATTTATAAAATATACCTATGAAATAAAAGATTCAAAACTTATGAATAACCTATCCTACCTGAACGTATTGTCCCGCGACTGGAACCGGGCAGGCTTGATTATTACAATCCCCTAGTTCGCTGGAATCCCCAGGACAATCGAGTCCTCCATTCACTGGTGTAGGGTTGGTACAGGTTCGGGCTCGGGAATGTTTTCCTCCACCACATGTGACTGAACAAGTGCCCCAAGGTCCCCAGCTAGCCCAGCCGCCATTCACTTTGAAAGCAGAAAAGTTTTTTCTTAAAAATCAACTTTGTAACAAATACTTAAATCTGCATCCTAATGAACTTTTGCGAGAAGCGCTGACTTTTTTAATCGACGGCCTACTTTTACACTAGGACAATATATAGAAGCTCTTTTTGTAAAATAAATATTAAGTTTCACAATTAATTAAACAATAATAATGACCCATTTCAAAGCACATAAATACGTTGCCTAGGAAGGGAACGGCAACTACCCTTCCCTCGACTCCCTCTCTTCCCATATTGATATAAATCTTGCTAAGTTTTCCTTTCGGAATGTTTTTTATCCGTATTTGATTCCTTTAGAAAATGAGATTGAAAGAAGATTACGAATAAGATAATTTAAGATAATTTAAATTAATTGTAATTCTGCCTCCTATCATCTCTTGCGTTGATTGCATTCCGGTATAAATCATGTTTGTTCCCCTATAACCACTATTAAGGTTTTCTTGTCTATAATCAATTTCGTGCCTTCTTACTTCAGGCAGGTTTAAATGCCAAAGTAAACCGTCGACTGTAAAAATCAGTACTTCTCGCAAAAGTCCATAAAAATTGCAGAGACCACAACAACAGATAAACGAGAGGAGCTTTATTGTCTCTTTCCCATATATTAGTTCACATGGAAATCTTACATCCTTTTCATCAGAAAAGTTATATATGATATTCTCAGTGATACATGTTCACATTCCACTGATGTGTTTATCTCGGAACATTAAAATAAACTCTTTACCTCTATCTCATTATACCCGTGAATAAAGCAACCCTTGAGGAAACAAGTCATGAACTGAACAAAACATGTCTCTTAAGTAATGATTCCTTTTTTTTTGATGGTTCCTTGTTGAAAAAGACTTGAAAACAAAACTTACCGACACAAGGTTGAGTGTTACAGCTCTGAGATTCTGAGGTTGACCCCGTGCATGATTTCCCACCATACTGTGGGGCAGGATTTGTGCACGTGCGTGTTCGTTCCTGTGTACCGCCATCACATGCCGCGGTACACGTGCTCCAAGAACTCCAAAGTGACAAACCACCATCAACTTTAGATATAATAAGATATATAAAATGGGTGATATTCACAGTATAACTGTTTTATAATTCCAGTACAATTGACTGTTTATAAATAGATTCGATTATTAAAAAAACCAACATGAACTTTTCCCAATTAATGCAATGCAGTTGTGCTTTTTAGTTCTATATTTATCACATTTGTTTAAAATCTATTTTCTAGACTCCACCTACTCATGTTTTTGTCTTACTTGGACAGTTTTGTGTGTTACAGTCCTGTGAATCTTGTTTTCTTCCGGCACAATCAGCGCCGCCATATTGGGGTGATGGATTGGTGCAAGTGCGGTCACGTGTCTGCGTTCCTCCACCACAAGTAGCGCTGCAGACTCCCCAGGTTGACCAATCAGCAAACGCGCCATCAACTGAAAATGTGTTTTAAAAATTTTAGAATAATGCCAAACTTGTATCTTTTAGTTAAAGTTAAACTGATTTCAGAAACGCGCTTTTTGCTTTATTCTTTACGTTATTAAGGCTGTATAATCAATCAGTGACCTTAACACTCCCCCATGTAAAAAGGGCATAAATTTCAACAATCAAGTACAATATACATAGGACTAAAACATGATAGCATATCAAAAAACTGAACTTCATAGGTAGTGATACACGATGTTAATATATCTGTTTACTTACTCGGACAGTTGTGAGTGTTACAGTTCTGCATATCGGAGGACGTTCCTGAACAGGAAGCGCCACCATACTGAGGGGCGGGGTTGGAGCATGCACGTGAGCGTGTCTGGGTTCCACCACCGCAGGTGACTGTACAGGTATCCCACTTACTCCAAGTTGCCCACTCTCCATCAACTACATAAATAAAATATGTTTTAAGAAGACTGCATTGGATAAAATATACAAACAGCTGAATATATTCAGTAAAATAACTTCTCAAGAGACTGATCCACCTATAATTTACAATTTCATCTCTATCGATCAGGCATATATCTTTTTGGAAAGGGGGTGGGGTCAGGGGAAAAAAAGTTTGACACCTTTAAAAGGGAATTGTCCAGAATTGAAAATCCTAGTTGGGATGGGAATGGGATAGGGTGGGGTAGGTTTCAACGTTTTTCGTGAAGGATTTTATTAAATAAAAGATCATAAATACATTACTATTGAATTTTTCTTGGCTCAACAAATGAAAGTTCAGCGCCTTCCATTGAACATTTTCAACAGTAAAAGATTATGCTTTGAAAAAAGGCGGGGGACGGGCCCCCATGATACTAATTCAGTGCCTGTCGATATACTTAAAACATTCATAATTTTATTATTTGCCTCTTGAAATGCATAATTATATTTATACACTTTCATACTTCCAAGCAGATTTTGAAAGATATATTGATTAAAATTAAAAATATTACACCAACTGTTACAGTTTCTTCCTGAGTTAATCTTTCAACGCTTACTTGGACAGTTCTGCGTGTTACAACTTTGGTCCTGTGTTTTCTGGCCGGTACAGTCGGCGCCACCGTATTGAGGTGCTGGGTTGGAGCACGTCCTATCCCTGGACTGGGTACCACCGCCACAAGTGGCTGAACAGGTGGACCATTTACTCCAGTCCGTAAAGGCACCATCAACTGAAAAAGGCCCATGAGAAACATCTAGTGAGCAGCTTATTTGATGGTTACCGAACTGGACAAATTAACATGACAAAGACAGCATACTTTACATTATCAACAATTCCTTCATTTGTAAATATATATAAAATTTGTCTTTTTGTGCAGATCCATGAAGACCTCGCTGATTTTACATGTCTAATTGGTTACACGTACCTATGACAAAATAAGTAAGAAGTATATTCGTATGACTCAAGAACCTAAAACGAGATATTAGAAATAAACTTACTTGGGCATTCTTGAGTGTTACATGTCTGTTTCTCGACTGGTGCTCCGGAACACTTGGCGCCGCCATATTGAGGGGCGGGGTTGGAACAAGAGCGTTTTCTTTCCTGGAATCCACCTCCACAAGAGACTGTACATGACGACCACGTTGTCCAATCCGTAAATCCACCATCAACTTAAATCATCAGTAGATACATTGTACATTTTTACTTATATAACACCCGGTAATACTAATGCAGAAAATTAGAAAGCTACACATAAAATAAAATTCCCATGCAGTTCAAAATATTTGCATGTAAAATTATCTTTGTTCCTACTGAAAGGCTCTATTTTTAGATGCGGGGTTTTCAAAAGGAAAAAAAAAACAGCAAAAAATGTAGTATTTGTTGCCCCATCCCTTTTTACACAATTTTCATGTTTGAATGTATTTTAATAAGAACGGTAAATATATTTATATTTATTTAAATAACAATGATTTGACAAAAATGGACATGACTTACTTGGACAATTTTGTGTGTTACAACGTTGATCCTCAGTTAGGTCCCCTGTGCAGTCTTTTCCGCCGTATTGAGGGGCAGGGTTAGTACAGGTGCGTTGACGTGATTGCGACCCACCCCCACAGGTCACAGAACACGTTGTCCACTTACTCCAACGAGAGAAACCGCCATCAACTGACAAAAACAGTTTTAGATTTTTTAAGTTTAAATATTTCTTATATATATATTTTAAGAAATTAAGACGCTATGTCATATTTAAACACTACATGTAAACTTATTTACATGAAACTTATTTTCTTCCACTCCCATTCCCTTCTTCTTATTTATGTGTATGTTTCTTTTTTTATGGGCAGTCTTGTAAAACAATGAAACAGAATTAAAGTTATACGTACTTGGACATGGTTTCGTATTACAATCCCGCTCGTCTGCTTTGTCACCGGAGCAAATGGCGCCACCATATTGAGGGGCGGGGTTTGTACAAGATCGGCCTCGTTTCTGTGTACCTCCCCCACACGTGACAGAACACTTGTCCCATGAGGACCATAAAGTGAAAGCTCCATCAACTACAAGAGAAAAATATAAATGAATATCTTCATCACTGCTGGCATAAAAGTTTTACAAATTGATTACAAATTATCCACACCAAAATAACATTTATTTTTAATTAAACAGACAACACATTAAACAAGAGGCCAATGGGCCACATCGCTCACCTGAGCACATTGACTAGGCAAAAGCACAAATCAGTTCAGTATTGAAAAGATTACAAATGGCTTTGTTGGACTTGAGAAGATTTTAAAAAAAATTTCCCATATATTTTTTTTTGTAAAAATTTGATCCCCCATTGTGGTTCCTCCCTATCCCAGGGGTCATCATTAGAACTTCAATCTACACTACCTGAGGATGCTTCCATATCAATATGACTAAACATAGCTTTCCTGTTCTTGAGAAGAAATATTTTTTCTATATGTTCTTATGTAAAACTTTCGATCCCCCAATGGGTCCCACCCAACCCCTGGGGGTCATCATTTGAACAAAATTTTATCTACACTACCTGAGGATGCTTCCATATCAAAATGACTCATCATGGTTTGCAGTTCTTTAGAAGAAGATATTTTCCTATATATTTCTATTTGAGAATTTGATCCTCCTTTGTGGCCCCATCCTACCCACGGGGGTCATGATTTGAACAAAATAGAATCTACACTACCTGAGGATGCTTCCACATAAATATGATCAATCAGGGCTTTGCTGTTCCTGAGAAGATTTTTAAAATTTTTCCTATACATTTCTATGTAAAACTTTGATCCTCCATTGTGGCCCCGCCCTATCCCCGGGGGTCATGGTTTGAACAAGCTTGAATCTACGCTACCTGAGGATGCTTCCATAGAAATATGAACAATCTGGGCTTTGCTGTTCCTAAGAAGAAGATTTTTCCTATATATTTGTATGTAAAACTTTGATCCTCTATTGTGGCCACGCCCTACCCCCGGGGGTCATGGTTTGAACAAGCTTGAATCTACACTACCTGAGGATGCTTCCATATAAATATGACTCATCATGGCTTTGCTGTGCTTGAGAAGAAGATTTTTAAAGATTTTTCCTATATATTTCTATGTAAAACTTTGATCCTCCATTGTGGCCACGCCCTACCCCCGGGGGTCATGATTTAAAAAACTTGAATCTACACTACCTGAAGATGCTTCCATATAAATATGACTCATCATGACTTTGCTGTTCTTGAGAAGAAGATTTTTCAAGATTTTTCTTATATTTCTATGTAAAACTTTGATCCTCCATTGTGGCCCCGCCCTACCCCCGGGGGTCATGATTTGTACAAACTTGAATTTACACTACCTAAGGATGCTTCCATATAAATATGACTCATCATGACTCTGTTGTTCCTGAGAAGAAGATTTTTCCAATATATGTCTATGTAAAACTTTTATCCTCCATTGTGGCCACGCCCTACCCTCGGGGGTCATGGTTTGAACAAATTTGAATCTACACTACCTGAGGATGCTTCAATATAAATATGACTCATCATGACTTTGCTGTTCTTAAGAAGGAGATTTTTAAAGATTTTCTTATATATTTCTATGTAAAACTTTGATCCTCCATTGTGGCCCCGCCCTATCCCCGGGGGTCATGGTTTGAACAAGCTTGAATCTACGCTACCCGAGGATGCTTCAATATAAATATGACTCATCATGACTTTGCTGTTCTTGAGAAGAAGATTTTTAAAGGTTTTTCCTATATATTTCTATATAAAACTTGGATCCTCCATTGTGGCCCCGCCCTACCCCCGGGGGTCATGATTTGAACAAACTTTAATGTAAACTACCTGAAGATGCTTCCACATGAATTTCATCTTTCCTGGCCCTATGGTTCTTGAGAAGAAGATTTTTAAATGATGCATTTATTTTTCACTAATTCTTAATTATCTCCCCTTGAAAGAGGGCTTGTCCTTCATTTGAACAAACTTGAATCCCCTTCACTCAAGGATACTTTGTGGCAAGTTTGGTTAAAATTAATTGGCCCAGTGGTTCTTGAGAAGAAGATGAAAATGTCAAAAGTTTACAACAACAACGACAACAACGACAACGACGACAGACAACGGCCAAATTTTGATCAGAAAAGCTCACTTGAGCCTTTGGCTCAGGTGAGCTAAAAAGAATAAAATTTTTAACAGATAAGGTAAATGTTTCTTTTTTATCTTTATGGGGAATATTCCATAAAGCCTTGAGATGATACGATGAAGTTAAGGTAAATGGTAGGATTTTAAAATTTTCTTTAATTTATTAAGATTCTTTCTTACTTGGACAGTTCTGCATGTTGCAGTCCTCTTTCTGTGAAGTAGGCCCGGAGCATGGTTTACCGCCGTGTTTGGGATCCTCACAGCTACGGATCCTACTCCTTGATCCGCCCCCGCAAGTTTTAGAGCAGGTGCTCCATCCAGTCCATGTTCTATATTTTCCATCAACTGGCAAGGACAAGTTTAAAAAAAATATTAACATAAGAAATTGTAACTTTGAATTTCTTTTGGAATTCATATTTCATTATCTGTAGAATTTTATTTTTCAATAAAAATTTTTGTTTTTATTTTTAGTAAGCAATAAGAAATTCCTAAAAATATATTTATTTATTTTTTTTAAAAAGAGGCGATTGAAATGATAAGTTATATCGTACTTGGGCAGTGGTGTGTGTTACAGTTTTGTTTTTCAGAAGAAGCCCCGGAACAATCAGCTCCGCCATATTGTGGGGCGGGATTTGTACAGGATCTTCTTCTTTTCTGCGAACCACCTCCACACGTGACAGAACACGTGGTCCAGGAAGTCCACTTGGTATAGCCTCCGTCAACTGTTTAAAGATCAGAATAATTTTTTCAGAAATGTAGAAATTGTCATTAATATAAATAATATATTTTTGTTTAATTCGCAAAATTAAGGTAGTTCTTATGTAACCTTATTTTCATTAATAAACATATTCATAGTGTTATGCCGCATGGGATGTCAGCGCTTTAGAGTATATATTTACTTGGACAAGGTTTAGTGTTACAATCTTCTTTCTCGTCAGTGTCACCGGAACAAGATCTTCCGCCATACTGGGGGGCGGGGTTTGTGCAGGATCGGGATCGAGATCTGCTACCACCTCCACAAGACTTCGTGCATTTCGTCCAAGAGGACCACAGAGTAAAGGCGCCGTGTACTTTTCAAATGTCAGAATAAGTTATGCAACAAACATTGTAAAATGATAGTTAAAAGTATTTGGGCTAGCAATTGGAATCATTATTAATATTCCTTACCTGGACAGTTGTGGGTGTTGCAGTTTTTCTTCTCGGAAGCTGCACCAGAACACGATTTGCCACCAAACTGAGGGGCGGGGCTTGTACAGGAGCGTGACCTTGTACTAGATCCGCCCCCGCAGGCTGCTGAGCACTTGGACCAGGAAGACCATTTGGTGTAACCGCCATCAACTATTTAGAAAAAAAACCAAACACGTTTCATGATGTGTTGTTCACTTATAATATGAGCTGAATCTTTTGAATCTGATATTGTTAGTAGTCCTTGTTAGTGTCACTCTTTCTACACGTATATTGCAAAAAATATTTTACTTCAAACACAGCCTGAAGGTTGTACATTTTGAAATTGAAATATTTCATTAAATGTCATTAAAAAAAGTGGCTTCATCGCTCGAATATTTGCTTTCAAAACTAGAATAATTATTACACGTTCATTAAACTGATCAATATACCTAATTATAAACTCATACGGCGTCCAAAAAATATTTAATGGTGTTCTTGGCAAAAAAAAAAAATAAATAAAAAAAAAATAAAAAAAAAAATAAAAAAAAAAACAACAAAAAACAAAAAGGAAGCCATTTTACACTTCAACATGAATTTTTCACCGTTTTGAGATTTCTTTAATCATTCAGTTTATTGTTTGAAATAAAATAAATGAATTTATGTTTTCTATTGACCAGGAATACTTCATCATAGAGTTTGTACGTACGAAGAACGTTAGTTTTACCTGACGCCGGTAATGTGAATTACCCTCTTTCAAATGTTTATATATCAGGCCTCAAAGAAAGAAAGCAGTTGAAATTGGTGGGCACACTCAAACATTTTCAGTTTTTTAGGGGGAGGGGGGGGGGTACAAGCAAGTAATTCAAAAATCTTGACAAGCCATATAAAGGTCATCTGATGTTATTACATGGGATACGTATATAAAGTAGATTTGTTGTCTAAGTTATTACATATTGGCAAAATTATAGGGGAGAGGCCCCTCCTCATTTGCCTCAGTTCTATGGTCATGTATATAAATGCCAAAAATAGTCTTACTTGGGCAACCCTTTGTGTTGCACGTTCTCTTGTCACCAGAAGATCCAGCACAGTCTTTCCCTCCGTGTTTAGGAGCAGGGTCTGTACAACCCCTGGAGCGTTTCTGACTACCACCCCCACAAGATACAGTGCAGGCACCCCACCTGGACCAAGAAGACCAGTTTCCGTCCACTGAAACCACGGTAAAAAAGATACTGAGTATGCAGTAATTGTAATTTAAGCATTATCGTTTTTTGAGATTTATTTCATTTATTAACTTATTAAACTTTTTTTAATTTTTTTTCACATTTACACATAAATGAATGCAGTAGTGAAAGACATGCATTAACTGATATTTCTATATCACCGAGTTTTTTTTATTATTATTTACATGATTTTAAGTTATAATTAATTTTATTTACGGAGCCACCTTACATGCACAATTATGGGTGTTGCAACTTCTTTTGTCGTCCTCACTTCCGGAACATTTCTTTCCGCCATATCTTGGTGTTGGTTTCGTGCATGATCTTTTCCGGTACTGACTTCCGCCTCCACAAGCCCGAGAACAGCGCGACCAAGTCGACCATTTATCCCATCCGCCATGGACTTTTGGAAAAGATAGGAAAAGGTAACAAAACGCAAACAAACTTAAAAAGAGAATATTAAATACCAGTTTACACACTTTGCATTTCAAACTAATGCAGTTTCTTAATTTTCAGCAAGAGATCCCTGAACCATTTTTCTTTCTGAGTAGAAATTGAAAATATGTAAACACGACACTGTAAAATAAACAGACGTACAGAGACAGATGATTGACAACAGGAGACCAAAAAAAAAACTCATTTAAACTCTTTCTCTCCATTTTTCATACATCATAATTATTACACTGTATAAAATTGATTATTCAGATGATCGATTAACATATTGTTAGGGTTGAACTTCGACATCTCAGACACTGATATCTCGGATATTACGGAAATGGCAAAGTAATTTGGAAGTCCCACTGCTTATTATTAAGTATTTTACACCGAATATCCCGAATCCTCGATTATCTCAAAGTTTTTCTTGGTCCCATCCGGTTTGAGATAACAAGGTTTGACTGTATTTAAATATAACATTTGACTTGCCTGGGCAGGATTGAGTATTACAATACGTTCCATCAGAGGAGGATCCAGAACAAGCCTTGCCGCCATATTTTGGTGCGGGATTAGTACAAGTACGCGTGCGCTCCTTCTTTCCAGTTTCGCAAGGTTTGGAACACGAACCCCAAGATCCCCATGAAGACCAACCGCCGTTAACTGAAAGAGACATGGATTTGTGTAAAAAAAAATCCTTCTATTTAATAATAAATTCTTTAAATAAAGTCCTTTCTTATTAGTTGAGAATTTTTAACTTGCATGTGAAAATCTGGTCAATATTGCACTTAATGAAGTCATAACTTGTTATCATCATTGTTACATTGTTTTTAATTGTACATGCCCCTTGAGGGCCCTTGATTGGTGATTAGACATTTTATTATTATTATTATACACCTAAATGTTATTTATTGGATCGATTATTACAAAATATATGGTTTATATTAAACTTAAAATGAAAATACAATACATTGACATATATCAATCGTAAAAACGACATTTGACTTGCCTGCACAAGGTTGAGTGTTACAATAGATGCCGTAGGAGGAAGATCCCGAGCACGTCTTGCCGCCATATTTTGGTGCTGGATTAGTACATGTACGTGTGCGCGATTTTTTTCCAATTCCACAAGGTTTTGAACAGGAGCCCCACGAACCCCACTTAGACCAGCCGCCGTTAACTGAAAGCCAAAGAAACAAAACTCCTGAACATGATTAACGAACAAAAGAAAGACTAGGTTTTTGTTTCTGATTTAAGACCTGATATGTATTTGTATATTTATGTAGACCTTTGTGATTCGTGTGGATAACAGCCAAGTAAATTGATGACTAGGTTTCTTCGATATAAAATTAATTTTCGCATGCCTTACCGAACTTTCGTAAAACTTAATTTTAGTGATCTCACTTCTGAAAATTTTCTTTAACGTACTTGCGCATGAAGATGTTCCACAGGACCGTTTGTCACTTGAGTTTCCAATGCACTTTCCGCCGTATTTAGGATAAGGACTGCTACAGGATCGTGATCTTGTTTGAGATCCTCCACCACAGGATTTGGTACACTTAGACCAGGAACCCCATCGTCCCCAGCCTCCGTTTACTGGAACCACAAAATGCTATCTGCAGTCATATAACTCTTAAGTCATTTGCATTGCAAAAAAGATTTTCTTTCCTGTGATAACTTTTCTGGTCTGTCATGAAGTAAATAGGGATCATTTAAGTTATATGCCTATCCTGACCTCAACCAATGAAATGCATTCAGTTTAGGGTTTCGGTTCAACTTTATAAAGCCCTAGGGGGCAGGGATGATAAATCAGATATTAATTTGATTAAGATTGCTTCTTAACATTTTCAGAAAGAAATTTTAAAACAATCAAAAATGAAACACTCGGCACAAAGCAGCGAAAGAAAAATGAATAAATGTGTCCTGTTGAAAATCGGAATTTGTGTGAACAATGCAAAATAATTAAAAATAAATTTCAGCATTTCACTCAATACTTACCTGGACAATATGTCTTCAATCTGCAGTATTTATAGTAAGATGAGCTGCCAGAACAGGTCTTGCCGCCATATTTTGGTGTTGGATTTGTGCAAGATCGCTTCCGATACTGCCGTCCATATCCACAAGTCGTAGAGCACGAACCCCAAGATCCCCATTTTGTCCAACCGCCATTAACTTATAAGTGAAAATTAACATTTTTAAAATTCTGTTGCTATGATATAAAAGATGTTGAACCAAATGGTTGTTGACGAAATTGCTGTATGAATGACGGTGTTCTATCTCTATATCACAAAATATCTTTCAAAGATCCTTACTTGGTACTAATAAAATGGCATAATCTCATAAAACAGTGACAGAATGGTATATTCATACTTGGACACGCCCCTGTATTACAGCTTCGTGAGAGGTACGATGATCCAGGACAGGTTTTTCCACCATATCTAGGGTAGGGCCTGGAACAGCTCCTATAGCGCTTGGATGTACCTCCCCCGCAACTCTTGTCACAACTTCCCCAAGAACCCCAAGACCCCCAGCCTCCGTTAACTGTGAGCAAACAAAAAATGTACATATGTCAGAATAAAACACAAACACTGCATGTATATATAGTTTGTTTTCAGTCCGCCACCTTGATCTTGGCTGAGACATAGACCGATATCAGCTTACTTATACCTATGTTACAGGAATAGAATTATACATATATCATAAACTTATTTGGACAGAATTGTGTATTACAGAAATAGAATAATACATATATCGATAACTTACATGGACAGAATTGTGTGTTACAGGAATAGAATTATACATATATCCATTACTTACTTAGACAAGATTGTGTGTTACAGGAATAGGATTATACATATATCGATAACTTACTTGGACAGGATTGTGTGTTACAGGAATAGGAGTAGGAGGAGGATCCGCTACAACTTCTCCCTCCATTTTTAGGGGTGGGATTGTTACAGGATCTTCTCCTTGTCTTCAGCCCTCTACCACAGGACTTAGTGCAGGAGGACCACGATCCCCATTTACTCCAAGCCCCGTTAACTGTTAATTGATAATTGATTGAATTATAGAGGACTGACAGATAGAATGAATGCATTCATTTACGAAATTCAATAAAAAAAAATTTTTAATTTGAGTGTCTAAAAAAATCTTTTAATTATTCCATCGCAAACATTTATGAACTCTGGAAATCTCTTTGGTTTACTGAGAGTATTCGAAGAGATCTATTAATTATTAAATGACAAATATTTTCAGATTAAAAACTACCAAATAAGAACCCATTTGATTTTAAGTTTATAAAAAAAATTAAGGAAGAGAATAGACTATTTTCGCCGCTAAGATCGGAAATATTATGTAATTGAAAGACCTCATTGTCATGATTATCTTCGACATCATTGGCATCGAAGGTCTAGGTAGATAATTTCTGTATAAAAGGGAATCCCCATTGAGACCTCACCTGGACATCCCTGTGTATTACAGGAGCGTGTGGTTCTGGAGTCCCCGATACATTTCCCCCCATACTTAGGGGATGGTCTGTTACAGTATCGATATCTGTACTGAGTCCCTCCTCCACAATTCTTCGAGCAACTTGCCCAGGAATACCAACTACCCCAGCCACCATTTACTGGAGAAAAACAGTTGTTTTAAATATTAATTAAATCTTTAAAGTTAAGCAAACAATGTTGAAATATACCAAATGTTTAGACGTTGTGATTCTTAATCTCCAGCACGTTCAAAATTAAGTTTGGGTTTTGTTTCTGAAAATTAAAAGGAAATCGAAATCTTATTTTTTTTTTTTTTTTTTTTTTTTTTTTTGGTACTTTACACGGATGTACCTATTTCAAAATATGGATGCAGGGCTTGGGTCAAAATCGAAAATTCTTAGAAAATATTGATAGGTACATACCTGGACAATACTTTGTGATACAGGATTTGGTCGAAGTGGAGGTTCCAGAGCAAGTTTTCCCTCCATATCTTGGGGATGGATTGTTGCAGGGACGAACTCTAGTCTGCACCCCTGTCCCACAGGTCTTTGAGCAGGAAGAGGACCATCGGCCCCAGGAACCCCAATTACCGTTCACTGTTGATATATAACGTAAATTATTGTGTTAAATTAACTACTAACAAGGCGAAGTGTTTCTGGTCCAACAATTCATACTGTTTTCTGTTTACATTTGGATTTTATGATTACAGCTAGAAAAATGTTGGTGGTCACATTGAAAAGGGAAACTAAAGCAAAACATCAGTAATTGCTTATTAATCTGTAAGTGAGAGACAAGCAAAACTCATTAATGACGGATAAAAATTGCGGAGATGATAATAAGATGCAATCCAGGAACCAAGTGAACACAATAAATCATTGAAGACACGTACGATCAAAACATAAGCAATTAATGAATTTGCTTACTCCAATGTGCATTTTCCATTATTCAATCATAAGATTTTGCGATACTTGCACGGAAAAGACGAACCTAGGGGCATCGGGTATTGCATAGGAATTCTTAAATTTTCATAGAGTGATTGCAAAACAAATAGAGTAATGTTCAATTTTCATTGTCCGATAATCAGAAAAGCAGAACTAACCATACCATTGAACGACAGCAACATGAGATGGCAGTGACAAAATGCAACTCTGACGTGACAGTGAGAAAAAAGGCATCAAACGTGGCAATGATGAAAAACGACACCCAAAATTGAAGTGAAAGAATTCAATGACATGTGGCAGTGAAGAAAAGCGCAACCTTACGATTAGTGAAAAATTTTAAAACTTTACATGTATATAGGGGTGAAGAAATGTGGCACCTTATACTGTGATATAAAAGACATCTAACATGGCAATGATCGTTTAGGATTGGCTCCCTGCCCTTTTTGAAATTCTAGCTGGAACACTTTGATGAAAAACGATACCCAAAATTACAAAAAACCGTGAAGAAAAGCGATACCATGACAGTGTAAAAACTAATACATCATGACAACGACGAAAAACGTTAACTATCATGGCAGCGAAAAGGTCGACATCTAGCTATAGCGGCATGATGATCATGGTAGTGAAAATGACAAACATCGCAGTTGAAAAGACACGACTATCATGGCAGTGAAAGGACTGACTCCTACCTGGACAGTACGTAGACACCGTACAACTAGTCGTAGAGGTGGCGCTTCCAACACACTGTTTGCCGTCATACGCAGGCGCGGGATTATTACAGGGTCGTGTCCTGGTTCGCAGCCCCCGACTGGAGGAAGAGGACATACACTTTAAGGAACAAGAGCCATAGGAACCCCAAGATCCCCACTTCCCGTCAACTGTGGAGAAGAAATAAGCATATAAAAGGTATTGTTTTAAACTACGTCTTTCGGTGAGTTTGTTTGTAATTGATAAAATAGTGCTAGATTTTCGTTCTATACACATTTTCATTCAGAAAATTTTATGCAAAAAATACGATTAGGTATATATCTGTTGAATTTGAAGAAAATATAGATAAATGTGAGTATAGATATATCATGAATAGTTTTGTTATAGTTTTTGTAGGTTTCGTTTTCTTACTTGGAGGAGGTGTGGCACAATCTTCATCAATTCTGCCGTCTCCGTCATCATCTAAAAGAAAAACACTATCCAATATTATATGTTATTTTCATCATGATTAGCCTATTTTAAACAATTTCGATAATTACTTCCACATTACCCTTACATTTCTCCTCTTGACGCTGAGAAAATTCGTACATCACTTTATTTTCCACTTTGAATCTTTCATTCCCCGTTAATATTGCAACATCCACTCACAGTAACGATTTCGAACTACTAACAATTTCAATATATAACTTAGTTTCAGTATTATTAATGCACTACAAGGAATAATCAATGACCGATTTCAAAGCACATGTACCAACTTCTATGTCATAACGTTTCACACCAATGCAGAACATTCTAGGATCAATCTTTAATCATTCTGTGCATTGTACACATGTACCAGCAAAATTGTCCCACTTTGTTGTTCAAAACTCCTCACTGTCGTTTAGACAGATAATCACTATCATGTTTACCGTCCCTCTTTCTCTTTCCTCGCCATCCTGTTCACCGATCCTGACGGTCAGTTTAGCGTCTCTCAGTCTTTTTCATTACCACCATATTCACCGATTCTCCCTGTCCATTACACCCTGTGACTGTCCCTTTCACCGTCCTTCACACTCTTTCGTTCACCGATTCCTACTGTTCATTACATTTTGTCACTATGCTGATTACAGTCTTTCACACTCTGCCTCTACATTTATCACCGTCCATAATTGTCCTTTACTTTCATAAGTCATTATCTTTTCCACAATCTTTCACTCTTTCTTCATTATCATATCCACTGTCTTTGACCTGCATTCATTCCTATTCGCTCATTATCCTTACACTCTTTCATTAAAATGCTGTTTACTGTTTTTTAGACTCTTGTTCACTATCCTATTCTCTGTCTTTCACCACCTTTCCTTTTGCACTCTTTCCTATCGATCGTTGTCTTGTTGGCTAACCCTTATTTAATTTCCTGTACACGGTTTTCTACCAATCAAATGTTTCCCATCCCTTATTATCGTAAATATACATGCATTGATTCTATCCCAGATCACCACCAATTACAGATACTTATTACTTGCATTACTGTCCCATGCAATAGTCTTTCATCATGACCACTGTTCTACATTCGATTTGTAGAATGCATTTTTCCCCATCTCTTGGTTTTGTAGTAGCTGATCCCTTCATGAAGATTCGATTTCTCCGCCAGGTCTACTGTACATAAACACTTCAAATACTCTCCTGTACTCACCCCTTCTCCTATTTTCGGGTGTGCACAGTTCCTCGTCAATCTTTCCGTCACAATCATTGTCAATACCGTCTCCTACTCTGGTCGGGGTTTTGATACAAACCTACAAGAAAAATACAAAGATCAATAAAAAGACGTGTCTTTTATTTGTGTTAGTTGTACAGTACAGTCAGAGGGACAGGCTTCAATTTTGTACACCATATGCTTTGTTACTACTACTTACGTACCAGTAGAGAAAAATATTAATATTATGGATGAAAGCGTAAGACTGAGTGCTTAAACTAAATACCGTAAATTATAAATCAGTTTCTGTACATAGAGAATTGGCATTAGCCATCATTAAGGATAATAGAGTGAAGGAGAAAAGTTAATCTAAATCATTTTGTGTACATACAGCATTGACATTAGCCATTCGCATTCCTGTAGTGAAGCCGTAGGTTTCGTAGTTAGCCTGTCCGTACAAGAAGCCTCCAAAGATGGAAATCGGTGAAGTGTGACGAACTGTGTGGGAACCTTCCCTAACAGAAATATAGCCACCTACCAAGTCTGTGCCGGATATAGAATTATAACGAGTATTGGATGGGAATGCCTTCCCGTCCAATCGCAGACCTTTGTATTCGCTTTTCTTCACAATGAACATGAAGTAATTGTTGTAGGAACCAAGGGAGTATTTGGGTGTGGAGAATGTATAGTCTGCTCCGAACTGCTCCATTGGCGGGATAATCATCATGGCGGGATCAGACTGCTCTCTTGAGCTCTGCTGAGATTGAACGAACTGGACCACTAAGATGGGTTTGGATGCCTTCACCAGACAATACGCCTTGGATGAGATCAGCTTCTGTACCATTTGTCCCTTCCTTGAGATTGTGAAAGAGGAGCGGTACCCGCCAGATATGGTAACTCTGGTGTTGTCTTCACTGGCAATAAATTTGAAGTAGTCCCCAACAGTTCTGAGTGGAATGGGGACGGTGGCAAACTCCTTACCCCATGTTTTCACTGGTGTCATCTGTTCCACTAGATGGTCAGAGGAACTCCCCCTTCCGATTCGTGTTTTCCTGTTTCCGGAGAAAACTGCCACGGGGCGGGATGATTTTACGTAGGACCCGGTGAGATCTCCAGTCATTACTAACTGCCATGTGTCGTATTTATTAAGGGTTTCTGAGACCGTCTTGCCTTTGTAATACTTATTTCTGTTGTAATAAATGTACCGACTTCCTACATGTTCTCCAACTTTAACACTGACTTTTGTTCCATCATAAGCGCCAACCACAAGCAACTCGCACTGCTTGCTGGGAGGGTACCACGTGACTACGTAATATTCGTCTGATAGTACGTCAATGGGTAGAGCTACGAACCCGTCACAGGAGTACCTCTCTTTGTTAACGCCGTAAACGACCACTTCGTCAGAGGCAACAATTCGGATACCTTTGCTGGACTTAGAGCATCCAGACATTCGGATTCTTGGATCGAAGAATAGCTGTTTGACCTGTCCAGCAACCACGCTGAAACTTTCGGAAATCCTCGGGCTGGAAGATTTCGGTGAGTCGACTTTCACAGACACTGGTCTAGTCCTTGATGTCGTCACGAATAACTCCACTTTGATGCTTAAGGCAATATTTTCCATGAAGCCGATAACAAACTCTTTTCCTCTATTATCCGGCGCCCCTACACATTGACATAGAATGTTTATTAATAAGCGTAAGGAAACTGAATTTTCCGATTTTAACAAATTAGTTGCACATGAAAATTAGAATTACGAGAGAAACTAAAAATAAACTCAGTTTATTTTGGAAGAAATTGACAAGAGTTTATGTATCTTTGTGAACTGTATAGACAGTCGCGAAGTGACTAGAAATTTCTTTTAAGAAGCAAATACATGTACACAGCTATTCTGATAGCGGAAGTTGACTTTTTTTCCTACTTCTTGTGCCTAACATATGAATTAATCGCTTGTCTGATTTTTTTGTGTCTTTTATTATTTTTTTATCATTACTTTAACTATTACATTGTAATTATTACATCTGGATTTTATTTTAAAGATGGATCAAAAATCATGAAGGAAATTTTACCTGATGGGGAGCCCAGGACAACAAAGGACAGAAGTAATAGGCTAGGAAGAAGAGCCCCTATTGTAAACAAAGAGGATTATTTAACAAAAACATTGAGATATCATAGTGCAACAATTAACATTCAATGTAATGTATTTTACAATCAATGTAGAGCATTTTACAGTCAATATAAAGCATTTTGTAGGCAATATATAACATTTTACAGTTAATGTTACATATTTCAAGCATAGTACTTAACCTACAGTCGGTGAAGAGACGGGACAATTCAAATATTTCATGGTCAGAGATCAGCATTTTATATTTAAAGGCAATATTTATACAGAGAAAAAATTTTACTATCAATTAAAGTAAAGAAATTCACGATTTTCATAAAATTATTACAAAGTAAAGCAATATATGTTACAGTAAAATTATTACATTCAAATTAAAAAATATATTTGATAAAAATAGTCCTTCAAAGTGAAGCCGTTTTAAACAAAAAAAAAAAAAAAAAAAAAATCTTCACGGAATCCGGAACTTTTTTCCATTCAATAAAAGTCAATATTATTTGTCCGAGGCATTTTATTTCAAATTAGACTAATAATTTGTATTGAAATTCATTTTCATTAAATATATTTTATGTGTTCTTTGTCGCTAAGCTCCTTATTTCACGTGTAGAGATTTTTTTTCTCAAAAATTCTTATTTTAAATGCATAAATGTACCATTCTTGAAATTTTTTTTTCGTATTCAGTGTAAAAAGAAAATAATTTCACTCAAATAAATTTTAAGACTTTTCTTGTGTCTACGCTGAAATAAAAAAAACAACAACATAAAACTAGAAAATTTAAAATAAAATTAAAAAAAAAACCTTTATACTACATGTAAAATCATCTAACACAACTTTTTGTGAGCGAATACAACTTTAGCGAAATGCATTGCAAGCTGTGCAATTTTCGGCAAGCAGAAATTGGAGATGTTATGCCATTTTTTTTAATGAATCATAAAAATGTTTAAAATTTAGAATTTAACCTTAAAAATATTATATATGGACTCACCCATTTTTTATATGTTAAGTTTCCAAATTCATGGGGCTAATTAATTTATGTTTTGGATGTAAGGTCAACTTATACCTAAAAATTAATGACTTTACAATTCCTTAATCTTTATTAATCCATCAAAATCAGGGTACTGTACTTAAACTGGGTTAAATACCATTCTTCGTCACCCAAGTTCTAAGACAATCTAATTTTTTGCTAAATTTAGGATTTGGTAATTTAAAATTTTGACTTGACTTTTAATGGTCAACTACAAATTACTTGCTGTCAAGACGGTGTGACGGCAGATCTAGCAATGTCTACGATGATTTTTTTTTTTCATACGGTTTACACCATTTTCTCATAAGATGTTTTAGAAAATATTCGTTCTTACTTCTTGCATTGATTTTCTTTTTCCTTCAAATGAAACAATAAAATGCTTTATGCTAATAAAATAGTCAAGAATATTCCTATCAAAAATCTCCAAGAAACAGGAAAACGTATGAAATAAATCAAAACATTTACTCTTTGTGTATATCACTGTGTATTAAAAAATATGTACATGTAATAACAAGTCATAGTGCTGAATAAAATATAAGAATTTTAATACACCCGTCCATTATTAGGTCACCTGAGTCACTCAGGTGACCTATTGCTATCTGTTTTCGTCCGTCGTCGTGCGTCGTCCGTCGTGTGTTAACATTTGAACATTTTCAGCTTCTTCTCTGAAACCGCTGAACCAATTTCGGCCAATTTTAGCATATGGCATCTATGTCTAAAGGGGAACAAAAATTGTGAATTTCATGGTCCCTGCCCCCCTGGGGCATGAGGGGTGGGGCTAAAACCACTCAAATTAATGCAATCTTTAAAAATCTTCTTCTTTACTCCTGGACATCAAGCAGTCAAACTGTTGGCATGATTGTAATAAGCATTGAGCCCTCTACCAGAATTGTGAAATTCATGGCCCCAGGGTCAGGGGTTCTGGTGCTAGGGTGGGGCTATATAGATCATATAGTGAAAGTGCATTATTTCTTTGAAAATCTTCTTCTCTGCGGGTATTAAAGAAACTAACTAAGTACATAGTTATAATGAGCATGGCTGCCTCCTCCAAAATTGTGAATTTCATGGTCCCTGGGTCAGGGGTTCTGGTGTTGGGGGGGGGGGGGTTCTATTGATTATATAGTGAAATGCCTTATATCTTTGAAAATCTTCTCCTCTGCTGCTGGGTATGAAATAAACTAACTAAGTACATAGTTTTAATGAGCATGGCTGCCTCTTCCAAAATTGTGAATTTCATGGCCCCTGGGTCAGGGGTTGTGGTGTTAGGGTGGGGCTCTATTGATTATATAGTGAAAATGCATTATATCTTTGAAAATCTTCTTCTCTGCCCCTGGGTATTAAATAAATTAACTAAGTACATATTTATGATGTGCATAGCTGTCTCTTCCAAAATTGTGAATTTCATGACCCCTGGGTCAGGGGTTCTGGCGTTAGGGCGGGGCTCTATTGATTATATAGTGAAAATACATTTAATCTTTGAAAATCTTCTTCTCTGCTCCTGGGTATGAAATAAACTAACTAAGTACATAGTTATGATGAGCATAGCTGCCTCTTTCAGAATTGTGAATTTCATGGTCCCTGGGTTAGGGGTTCTGGTGTTGGGGGGGGGGACTCTATTGATTATATAGTGAAAATGCATTATATCTTTGAAAATCTTCTTCTCTGCTCATTGGTACGAAATAAACTAACTAAGTACATATTTATGATGAGCATAGCTGCCTCTTTCAAAATTGTGAATTTCATGGCCCCTGAATCAGGGGTTCTGGTGTTAGGGTGGGACTCTATTGATGATATAGTGAAAATGCTTTATATCTTTGAAAATCATCTTCTCTGCTCATGGGTATTATATAAATTAACTAAGTATATATTTTATTATGAGCATAGCTGCCTCTTTCAAAGTTGTGAATTTCATGGCCCCTGGGTCAGGGGTTCTGAAGAATGGGGGGGGGGCTCTATTGATTATATAGTGAAAATTCATAATTTCTTTCAAAATATTTTTTTCTACTCCTGGTTATAAAGCAAAGAAACAAGTGCATAGTTATGATGAGCAAGGATGCTTTTACAAAATTTTTTAAACTTGTGGTCCCAGTGGTTCTGTTGTTTCACTGAGGGAGGGGAGGGGGGCTCTATTTGATTTTATACTGAAAATGTGTGAATTCTTTGAAAATCTTCAACTAATTGCATAGTTATGATGATGAGGGTATCTCTTCCAAATTTGTAAATTTTCATGACCCAAGGTCATGGGTTCTGGTGTTAGGGTAGGGCTGTGTTAAATAGTGAAAATGCATTTTTTCTTCAAAAATCTCCTCTGCTCCTGGGCATAATGGAAACAAACAGAGTAATAGTTTTAATAAGCAAGGGTATTTTTACCAGAATTTTGAACATCTGGACCATCTAGTCAAGTGTTCTGGCCCTGGCCAGGGCTCTATTAATTTGTATTCTGTTGAGTGAAGTTATTCCCCTTTCCATTCACTTTTGATAATTAATCACTGTAGATAATGTATTTGAAAGGTTAATAGATTAAGAGAATTATGCAAGAACATTTATTATATAATACAAAAAGTACTTTCATAGTTTTTATAATCAGGTAGACTTGGAAAAAATGAAACAAAAATAACATATTCTTAAATGTTCTTCAAAAGCCAAGTGAGGCCAATGTGAGAGGTAATAATATAGACATTTTGTTAAAAGTCTGCATGGTAATAGTGATAAATGGGGAACAGATAGGAAGATACTAGACCAATTATTTTGTTGATCAGAATCGTACTATTTTTCTTGCTATTGGGCAACAAAGCTTCATTTATCAGTTGATGGATCCTCTAAATTGTTGTACTCAGGTGACCGTTAAGGCCCTTGGGCCTCTTGTCTTAAAAGGAAGCTGTTATCGGAATTTGCGCATGCGTCACAATGATACCGTATATTGCTTTGGCCACAAAGGAACAGTAAAGTTTTATGTGATAAATTTCCAGAGGATTATTTTTATTGGATGACCTTAACACAATTATCTTATTAAATATGCCAGGTGAAAGAACACGCTGTAAAGAGGTCGGGATTGGAATACACAAGGTATTAACCTTAATAGTTTGGCCTGAGACTTATAAGATTTCAATACGCTTTTATATATCTTTTGTAAACAATGCGATTAACCTCGATCACGTTTTTGTTAGGTCTTTGGGACAATTGTATACTAAGCCCCGCTTCTCTTAGCATTATATGGAGTGAAAATAAACTTTTTGCACGTGACCTCTTAACTTGCTTTCTGCACAAAATTCACCATCCCGATTTCAATTATCATGTATATATTAGATGTTTTTAATTTAGGTAGACCTTCAAAATTGAAGTCTTCTGTTTGGTTAATGAAGGATTTTTCTGCTCCACATATATATACATGTATATATAAGATAAAAATAGTACTAAAATCAGATTAGTGGCCTTAATAGCATTTAATTAAATATTTTAAAGCCCTTTTAAAGTATAATAACCATTGTTATTCTGTTGGTATTTTTTTTCACTATCCCATAAGAGTCTTAATTCCTAGTGCACTCTGTAAAAGAAATCATCCCTATTTTTACAAATATTAAGAAAAAGATAGAGGTATAGGTCAGAGCGATTCTCAGACAATAATCATAAAAGTTGCACGGATTTTATCAAGGCCAGAAGTATCGATTTTAACAGAGGGGCAATAGCAAAAGTGGGGTGACACACTGCTAAAGCACTAATTGTCTCATTCTAATTTTGTACGTAAAATTATCTAAAAATTCAAGCAGTGGATGTGTGCTTCTGCCCCTTCTGCCATTCACCTTCTTCCATTTAGCGCGTCCCTGATTAAAGAACATGGAGCGGCAGATATCACGACTCCTGCCATTTTGGTCTACAGTGTATGTTATCTCGATCCGGAGTAGTCAGATTTTGACTCGTGCATGTTAAATATATTTCTAGACAAAATACTTGATATTCTAAGAACGTAAACTGTTTACGACCATATGTATCAAAGTTTGAAACAACCATAGTTTTAAAACTGCTCTCAGGCCGAAATCAGGGATTAAAGTGGGTGCTAGTTGCAAGACCGGGGTACACATTTTTTAAAATACTCCCGATTAAGATGAAGAGAGCTAATAACATATAAATGTGCACTTAAATACTTCTGAGTTTCCTTTTTTATTATTATTATTATTATTATTTTTTTTTTTTTTTTTTTTTTTTTGCAAAATAATAATGAACTTGATAATTTGTTTTATTTGAAAGGATGCAGTTTTTGTGTTAAAATTATATCTTTACATTTCACAAAATACTGCTTTTCTTATACAACTTCGTAAAATTGAGAAAGAACAATGCTCATCTATAAACTCGTAAGGTCTCGACCAGTTTGATGGCATCACAAAATGACAAGTAGTGATGACGTCATCAGACTTTCTAATGCACACTGTCATTACAGAGTGTTCTTGAAGCCGAGAAGGGAAGGTCTTTAAGAAGATAAAATTCCTCACAATACTAAAGCAACTTTTTCATATTCAAAATCACACGAGAACATTCCAATTTAAGTTAAAAGTCTGCATTAAAGTTAAATCTTATCCGTTTTATAAAGTGTTGAACAAATAAGCCTTATAAACAACTGTCCAATACACTAAAGTTATAATGCCTTGATTCAATATTTTCTATGCATTATCTATCTATAAAAATAAAACTCTGTTATTCCGAAAATCTACTATAAAAACGGGACCCACTCAAAGTCCCATAAAGCTCCAGCCTAGGAACCTCAAAGAGCAGGGCTATGGGTTATTATCGTTATCTTTTTTTTCTATAAAAGAACAAAAAAATCATTAAAAAAATCATAAAAATCATAGAAAATTATAAATTCGATTGTTTTAAATTTATTTTTGTATTCTTTTTTTTTCTGAAGAAAAATTCTAATTTGTTTAAGCATTGTGACGCCTTTAAGTGATTTGATTTCTACATATAACAAGCTCGTTTTCATTTATGATGTTTTTGGACATATTTATTTTGAACCGGGGATGCATATATTACCGTATTATTTATGAGTGAAAAATAATTTATTACATGTGAAGGATATAGCTTGCTTCTGATTTCTGATATTCGTTGGATATTTTTTTTTTCCAGGGGGGCTAAAATTTTTACTTATCTTGGTGATTTGCATCGCCCTTCTTCCTGAGTCGGGTAAGAACCATTTATTTAAATAAGAATTTAATTAAATTGAAAATTTAAATATTTGGTTTTTTTTTTTATAAATGCAGGTGCTAAATAAATTATTTCTTTAAGAATAATTCTTATTTACAATTATTTGTCTTGTAGACATATATTTCACTTAAGGTTATAAGAAAAGGTTTTATATAGATTATTTAATTTAAGTTCTCCAATGTCTTTTTTTATATACTGCAATGAAAAAAAAACTGTATGCAAAAAAAAAAAAAAAAATAAGTTTGTTAATTCACATATATTTGGTCAGGTGTATGCAAATTTTCACATCCTCGATCTATGTTTTAAGTTTCTCTCTATCAAATTTATAAGCGGATCCTACTTTACAAATATACACGTTTACTTGACCTTTCCCATTTTTTTATTGAAATGGGGAAGGGATGGGGTGGTGTTAAACTTATTGAATGCATCACAATACATATTCTGACATAAGATATACATGGATGTTGGGGGTGGGGGGGGGGTGGGGGGAGGTAAATCACAAAACTACATGCACAGCTTTTGCTGTCAATATATGACGCTTCTGTTGAAGCTATCTTGGATGGGTTACTAGCTGGATACAGTGTTGTAAAAGAGATTGTCATTTCAAACATTAAAAAGAAAACAAAAAATCAAAACAAACAGAAAATAGTCCTCGTGTACAACACATGAGACCTGTACTTTTTTACTTGTTTGGGAATCAAAAGTACCAGATTGCCACGTAGTATACTATCAGAAGTAAAATGTAGATAGTAAAGTCCGAGTTTGTATAGGCAATTTATTATCTTTTAATTTTTAATCTAATTTTAATTTTTAATTTTTAGGTGCCATTTTCTCCTCAATTTCAAGAACATGGAATTGTAAGTATTCGAAGTTGAATTTCAGATTAATTCTGATTTCTTAAATCCAATAACTGAAGGCATCATTATTTGAGGGGTTGATAACAGACATGATTGAATAAACATGTATACATTATTTAAAAAAAAGAATGATATATCAATTTTCCAAAGATTTCACCTTTTATCAAAATAGTTTGTAGTCAATGAACTTGCGGACTTTTCTACAAAACTCTTTTTTATGAGCACAATAAGTGATTATTTATTATTAATTATCTATATAATGACATATCAGCATATTGAGTAAAAGTAAAAGTGTGTTGATGGAGGAGGGGGTGGGGTGGGGTGGGGGGCTGTTATCTGCGTAATCAACCCAGTTTGATTTATTATGAAAACTATTTTTGAACAGAAAAGGCAATTTAATTCATCTTATTTCACGTCTTTATCACAATTTTACGAAGTCTCATTCTCTATTTTTATTTATTTATTTATTTATTTACTTATTTATTTATTTATTTATTTCAGCTTTATTCGGAAGACGGTCTGGTAAGTAAATCATAAATGCAAGTCGAAAAAAAAAAAACAAAAACAAAAAATCTAAAAAAGAGAGCAAATGAATGAATCCATAAAATCTTGATGGTAAGTTCTATTTTTTTTTATTCAAACACTTGAAAAAAAAAAGTCTTCCTTGAAAATAAGCCAGTAAAATAGATTCGAGGAATTGCTTTGGCTCGAAATTATCAAGTTAAATCCGCATCCGTAAATATCTATCAATTGACCAGAGTCAAATAAAAGATCATTATGAACACATTGTACTATGAATACACTGTACCAAATGTATTACCACCTGAAATAATTCATAATTTATTATATCATATTAAATACAGTAATTTATCTCATGTAATTTATGTATGACAGTGAAGCTGTATAAAAAATAGCTATTTCCCTTGCTCCCTTCAATCGACCAGCTAATTCTAGTTTTAGTCATTCAAATCGGTAAAAGACACAAAAATAGTTGATAATAAAACAACAATACTTACTGTTTTTTTTTTTTTTTTAGAATTTATTTAGATGTATAGATTAGTAAGCTGCTCATGAAAATAAACCTCCATTTTTGATTATTTTAAATTTCATAATTATTTTTGCTGCGGTTTATTTTTAAGACTGTAAGATATATGTATTGAGAGTATCCCTATGTGATCGTGTGCGGTTTATTTTATCTGAAATATCCGGGAAATGTTGGCCTTTGTTGGTTTATTTCTCGATAGACTTCTTTGTAAAGTCTGTTATGGAAAGGTAATGCTTCTTGTTTTATTACATGCGCACATGTTATACTGAATGTAATAAGTAACATTTTTAATGCAATTAAAACGACATAAGCACTGTATTTTTGAACTTTTTTTTTCTTGTTCCTGTATAAATTATGAGTCGATAATTGAAGATTGTTTTCATGATGTCTGGCAATGCTGTACATCTCATCTGCATAGAAGTTTGAGGAAATGCCAGCTAAAACTATATAATATCTATTTTCTTTTCTTTTAATTTTTCTTTGAAAAAGTCAAACATTTTCAACAAATGAAATATGTTCAAAACCCTTGGCATTGTACGCTGATTTTTTTTTTTTTTGGTTTAAGAATATCTATGGTACATGTACTATGATTTTAAAGTAAGGATGTACAACACACCCACCTCCAAAAAATTATCAGTGGGCAAGGTATATTGTAAGTTGCGTATGACCTCAATGTAATTTGAGAAGCAAACATTTATACAGTTACTTGATGTATTAATGTGCGTGTTCTCTAGAAGAAGATGGACGAGAAAGAGGTGAAAAATCCTATCGCTTAAAATGTATAAATATCAGGTTCACTTTATATCTTAGTATTTACAGCAAAGTTCTAATTATTGAAAGATATGAAATGATGACGAGCAAAACTTTTCTGCGGGAAAAAATCCCTCCACAAAAAATACTCTATAGGAAAAAAAAAAAAGATTTTTTGAGACTTGAGCTCAAACCATAAAAATCCTGACTACCAATTTTTTTTCTTAGAGTCAGTCATCACATGATTATAAAAATGAAATGTGTTTGAAGAACACTAACTATCTAGTATTGTAATCTCACGGCCAAAAAAATATGCATGTTATCCTGACAATATTCAATGGGAAAAAATCTCGTCAATTTGCAAGGTAGATAACTTGAGTTAAACAGTGTTATTTATAGTCCACCTAATACGTCATCGATCTATTCTTATCATCCTTAAGTTTGTATTCATTCCTTGCGGGGAAGTCGCAAGATAAATTTTGAGGGAGAATATATACATCTACATGATTTTATTTTCCGAGAATTTTTATTTCAATTATTTTTTCAATCCCTTTCCCACCTTCCGCCATCGTCGTAAGTCTGCGTCGTCATTATCAGATTCCTCCAAATAAATTGTAACTTTATTGTTCACTAAATCCATAGTTCATACAGGCTTGCAATTTGAAATTAACGATTTTTTAAAAAACCCTCAAAAGTCTTCAAATAAACAGAGCTCTAAGAACTAAATTAAGCCAGGGATTGGTCATTTTTGGACTCTAAAAAAATTTAAGTAAAGGGAACACAAAGGGCATTATTAAAATAAGAATGGTTCTGTTGACACGACATTTAAGAGTCTCAATTTATTACAGACTTTAAATTCTGTTTCTTTTTATATCGTCTGAAATGTTTTGAATTAGAATTGGTTAAGAATATGAGAAATCATTGTCTGTGAAAGGTAGTGTTGTGAAAAACGAAATCCAATAATATTATGTACAATTTATTTTAAACAATGTTTGTTGAAAACAAGAAGAGTTCTCTATTGAGCATTAAAAAAAACAGTTTTATCATAAATCATAATGATATTTCTAACAAGTTAAATGGTATTTTATTTCACACCAAAGCGTTTTCTTCAAAGGTTTCCGTAAGTTGATGTACCACACAAAAAATATCACAATAAACACGCCGACAAAAAGGGGTAATGATTCATCGTGTCTGTTTTTCGAAGATTTTCCTTATGTTTAGAGCTCGATGAAGCATTATATAACTTGGGCACATTTAGTACTTATTTGTTGCATCTAAACTCGCAAAGTTGTGAGAAAACTTTGGTACTGTAGCGATTTAGGAAATAAACATTTTAACCTGATTTGCACCACATTTGTCTTCTTAAATTACGACTCCGTCATCTTTGTTATTAAAGTGACACGGGTGAATGGTAAATGGTCGTCATGGGGATCCTGGTCTTCCTGCAGCAAGCCATGCGGAACCGGTAAACAAACTCGGAAACGCTCATGTACAAACCCGGCACCGAAGAATGGGGGCTCAAGTTGCAGTGGTTCCTCTAGCCAGAGCCGATATTGCAACACCAAGAGCTGCGTCGGTAGGTATTATAATGATCCAGCATTTCCGAAGAAGGACGGGTCTCTGGTTAATGCGTACACTTATTAAGCGCCAAATATAAAATCATATCACAATTACTCCCATTTTCTTACTTTTTTCCTTCACTCTTTTGATATCAACTCTGCAAGGGATTGGTCAAGGAACGATATATAGATTTACAGAACTTAGATTTTCTTCTCTGAAACCTTAAATACATCCTTGTCTTTTTTACGTTTACGTGCACTTATAGGAAACATTGTGATTGTTCATTATCTATATGGCATTGCTTTTTTTTAGTTAATGGTGCCTGGTCATCTTGGGGATCTTGGTCAAAATGTAGCAAGTCATGCGGAACAGGGAAGCAAACTAGGTCAAGGTCATGTACCAATCCTAAACCTAGTAATGGCGGGAAATCCTGTAGCGGTTTGTCCGTGGACGGACGTTACTGTAACACAAAGACATGCCCAGGTTAGAAAAATCATAATTAAGCACAATAAATCATATACATTGTAATTCATACACTATTTGAAAAGTATCTTATAAAATTTGAGAATTTACAATTAAGAATGAGCATATAGTTTTTGTACTTAATTTGCATTTCAATCACGTTTACAGATTTGTGTTTTAAAGGAAGTCTTCGAAAATCAAGAGATTAGAAAATAAAGCTATACAGTTCTTTCTCTTAAATCTTCCCAAACATTTTCTGCTTTATAGTAAATGGTAAATGGACATCGTGGTCATCATGGTCGAGTTGCTCTGTGTCATGTAAAACAAGCTATTTAAGCATCGGAGTCAGGACAAGAAAAAGAAGTTGTACAAATCCTGCACCCAAATATGGAGGCAAATCCTGTTCAGGGAGCTCCAAAATAACCTCCACCTGTATCCCTTCCAAGTTCTGTGCAGGTGCGTGATCAATCTACAACTATTATTATAATCATTATGATTCTTCGACATAAACATCAACATCATCATCATCATTATTATCACCATCATCATTATTATCATCATCATCATTGTCACTAGCACCACCATCGTGATCATCACCATTATAAGAAAAAACACTATAGACAGAATATAACTCAATAAGGTTTATAAAATTATTAAAGTTTTGTAAACATATTCCTCAACATCAGCTTTCCTTTTGACAAAAGAAAAGAATTACTGATATTGGTTTCAGTTAATGGAGGATGGAGCAGCTGGAGCTCCTACAGCGCATGCTCAGTGACCTGTGGTTACGGAAAGATGACGAGGCGTAGATACTGTAACAATCCCAAGCCTGCTAATGGTGGCAAAGACTGTGTGGGAAGCTCCGGGTTCACTGTTGTCTGCAAAAATGTGAACTGTCCAGGTAAGAAAATATCTAATGGATTATTGTATCAATTGTTCAGTTAGGAAAATTATTACTTAGACGACAGAACAAAAATGTAATTCTGTTGAGACAGATTGTAAAACTCACCGTCTCTTTATTTTTACGTGGCTTCTGCAGTGTAAGTAGCATGTCAACAATATTAAACCAGATTTTTTTCTTGACGATCGACCTAAATTAATAATGGCAAATAAAACTGACCTAATATAGCAGTAACAATGTGACTTGATGTAACAGTGACAACTTAACCTGACATAACCATGGAAACTTGTTTTGACGTAACATTTGCAACTTGACTCGAAGTAATAGTGCATGACGGGCTAAACCTGACGTAAAACTGGCAACTTGACCTATTGTAGAAGTGGCAACCTGCCATGATTTAATAATAATGACTGGATGAAACAGTAAACTTGACCTGAAATAACGGAGACAACTTGACCTGATATAACAGTGGCAACTTGACCTGATATATAACAGTGACATTTTGACCTGACATAATAGTGAATACTTGACCTGATATAACAGTGGCAACTTGACCTGATATATAACAGTGACATCTTGATCTGATATGATAGTGAATACTTAACCTGATATAACAGTGACAACTTGACCTGATTTAAACAATGGTAACTTGACCTGATGTTGCAGTGATAATTTGTAGGAGAAATTTCATCAAAGAGTTTAATAAGTTATCATTTAGCACATCAATGTATTTCCACACATCCAATAATGCTAGCACATACGATAATTTGAGAGAAATGCCTAAAATCTAATGACATTAAAATGTGCTTATGATATAAGATACAATATTCATGTACATGAATATGGATTATATTCGAAAATCATAAATTTTCTTTAATATTTAGTGTGTTCTATTTATTTTGTTTCGTTTTTCAGTAAATGGTGGTTTTAGTGCATGGTCTGCTTGGACTCCATGTTCTAAGAAATGCGGGGGTGGATCTCGTACCCGTGGTAGGCTGTGTAACAACCCGGCCCCAAAAGACGGTGGTAAAAAATGTGTGGGGTCCTACTTGCAAACTCAAACTTGCAATTCCCAAGGCTGCATCGGTAAGTTAAAACAAAGTGAAGATAAAAAAAATAGCAAACAATAAAATGAAACAAACGATCACATCCCAAGAAATAAAGTAAGAGAAGCACTTTACCTTGTAAAGGAAGGAAGGAAAACAGTCTTTAAATGAAAGAAATGGATACAGGGAACCTTCACTATAGTGCAGCCCAATCTACATTCTCGTGTATTCATGATTTATAAGTTATCTATAGTATAAATTCAAATGCTATGCAAACTGCCCTAAAATTTAAACTGTATGTGAGCATGGCCCATTGTGTATAATACTATATAATTATGTAGTACTTAGTGGGAAAGAATGACTCCATTACAAAAAATTTAGTTGCTTTGATAGAGTTTAATGTATGCATATCTTTACTACATAATGTAGTTAGTACATCTTAGAAATGATAACTAAAATTTACACATGTGTATACTATATATACAAACATAAACACAGAAACACCTGACATACATATACATGTTCATACCATTCAAACATGTATTTACACATATGAATATTAAGGCTACCTTAAAGTTTTCATTGTATTAAATTCAATCGTTTATAAAATTTAGTTTTTAGAGACATTATTTATGTTCTTTACAAGGATAGTTGCTATTTTCTTGCAGTAAACGGTGCCTGGTCTTCATGGGGATCTTGGGCATCTTGTAGCAAAACGTGCGGAACTGGAAAACAATCTAGGTCAAGGTCATGTACCAACCCTAAACCCAGTAATGGTGGGAAAACGTGTAGCGGTTTGTCCGTGGACGGGCGTTATTGTAACACCAAGGCATGCCCAGGTTTGTAAAAAAAAAGTCATTGTTATTATTTTGTATATTATATTAACTTAAATTCTTATGTAGAACTTGATTTAGCTATTAAACAAAGCATATACAATTTCAAATATAAAGCAATATAAAACACAACAATGTTTCACAAAATGTAAATTGCTTGGACGCTATGCTATTAATGTCTTGATGAAATAAAAAAAGTTTTTAAAACTTTCGATTATAAAGAAGAAATTGCTGAAATTTTCTATCGATAAGGAGGTCGTGATTTGCAGCTACTATTAATTAGGTACATGCATTTTTTTCAGTTCCTATAAAAACGCCAAAGAGTTTAGGTAATACTATTGTCTTTTTTTTCTTTTTGCACAAATGTAACATTTTGTTTTCCTGAATGACTGTTCATAAAACGTACAATGCAAACGAATAGATCTACTTATATCCATAAAATACTATAACAGATATTTTTTATAAATTCTCACTTTCACTGCTTTTATATTTCTGACATGCATGTTAAAACGTTTAAATAACCAATATGTATCTATTGTTTTCAGTGACAGTGCCACTGCAAGGTAAGGAATGAAGGCAATTGATTGAATTTATCACTGAATGCTTTTTCAACATTGACACTACTCCTAAAGAGAGATGTTTCATTTAGAATTAAGTCATATTCTTTGATATAATGTAATATCACAAAGAATTGATTTAATGTCTTAAAGAAGCATTCAATTATATTGTCTTCTTATTCAGGAGCTCCCGACAACAGAGGTACGGAATTTATCATTGGCTTTATGCAAAACATCAACCTCAACATGAAAGTAGAGCTTTTTATAACCACAAGCTCCAGTAAAAAGGTCAGCGTTAGTGTCCAGTCCCCCAAATCTACAAAGCCCTACATCCGGTCAAGCTTCACCATCTCTAAGGGTCAAGTCAAACAACTCTTCCTTGACCAGAAAATCAGAATGGACGGTTCAGCTAAGGGAACCAAAGGTATTCTAATCCGAGCTACGGATGAGGTCGTCGTTTATGGAATCAATAAGGAACTGTACTCCTGTGACGGATTTGTCGCCCTTCCCACTGACGTCATTTCAAATGACTACTACCTAGTTTCCTGGTACCCATCTACCTACCAATCACAACTTCTGGTGGTCGGAGCACATGACGGAACTTCAGTGAGTGTGAACTTCGGCAGCAGTCTCGGGTCGAAATATGTATCCTATGGTGGCAAAAAATATTATAAGGGAAACACTGTCTCAGAGAAACTAGATAAATATAGCACGTGGCAGCTCACGACCGCAAAAGGTGATTTCACCGGTACACGGGTGGTGGCAAACAAACCGGTGGCCGTGTTCTCAGGAAACCGTAAAACAAACATCGGTACCGGTACATCTTCCGACCATCTGGTGGAACAGATGATACCGGTCAATACTTGGGGTAAGGAGTTTGCCACAGTACCTATTCCCAAACGAACCGTCGGAGACTACTTCAAATTCATCGGAAGTGAGAGCGGAACAACAGTCACCATTTCCGGTGGATACAAGTCGTCTTTCACTCTTACAGCTGGTCAGGTGGTTCAGAAAAAGATTCCATCCACCGCGTATTGTTTTGTCAAGTCGACGAAGCCCATCATGGTAGTCCAGTTCGTCCAGTCACAGCAGAAATCATCAGAGCTGTCTGACCCCGCCATGATGATTATCCCTCCCATCGAACAATATGGCGCTGATTACACTTTCGCTACACCAAAATACTCGCTCGGTTCTTATAATAACTACTTCATGTTCATTGCCAAGAGCTCAGAGGTCAAAGGACTTCGTTTGGATGGAAAAGCCTTCCCATCATCTACAAAGTATAATAAAATCGCGGGCACGGATCTAGTGGGAGGTTATGTGCCTGTTTCTCAGGGATCACATACGGTTATGCACACGTCCCCCATCTCCATTTTTGGAGGGTACCTATACGGACAGGCTAGATACGAGACCTATGGATTTAGTACTGGGATGAGAATGGGAAAAGTTAACGCTGTACGTTTTCTTCTTCATTGAAATAAAATTTATGATTAATTTTCTTCCTTTGATTATCTGTAACTAAAAATCATAAAATGTAAATTCTAATAGTAAGGTACGATAGGAGAAAAAAGTTTATAAAATTTTCTATTAGTTAGAAACATACACCAATGAAAATAAACAATTTTTCTTTGTATAGCCATGCACGCCCACCAAATCTGTAGACGGTGATGGTATTGATAACGATTGTGACGGCAAGATAGACGAGGAAATCTGTACAACAGAAAACAAAAATAAAGGTCAGAGGTCAATTTATCAATCCTGGACCAAATATATCATGTAGAAAAAGACTAATATAATCTGTAAAACAGAAAACAAAAACAAAGGTTAGAGGTCGATTAATCAATCCTGGCCCAATTATATCATATAGGAAAAGTTCAAGTACCGTCTTCGTACTAATAGTGATTTTTTGAAAAGCAATTTGTCATATAAAAATAGCCATTAAAATTTAATGCCAATGGTTGTTCTACATATGTCATAGAGGAAGCTTTATTTACGTCTTCTGTTTATAGATGACGATCGTGACGGAAAAGTAAATGAAGATTGTGCCAAACCACTGCCAAGTATGTCATCATTGAAAAAAGTTCATTTTAATTTGGGAGCCTCCTTTATACTCACATTTCAGCATTTATATAATATCATATTTAGATACTTTAGAATAAAATGATAAAAAGCACAGTTTTAGAATATCAGTGATGCATGTACAGGTAATCATACCTTATTATTTCAAATCTGACTGATTTTCGTCGTTATGCTAATGGATAACGTCTACTCAAAATCTATTTGTATGCAATTTGCATCCAAATTTTTTATGACTCCAGTTCTGTGCATAAATAAAAAGATTAACGACGCCCATAAAGTGCTTCATACAATGTATAAGGAATTTCCTGAATTGTAGTTAATGGTAATTGGGCTGCTTGGTCGTCGTGGTCGAGCTGTTCTGTGGCATGTAAGACAAGTTCTTCTAGCAAAGGAACCAGAACTCGAACAAGAACTTGTTCAAATCCCGCACCAAAATATGGCGGAACATCCTGTTCCGGAAGCTCTAAATCAACTTCTACATGCTATCCTACAAAATACTGTGCTGGTGAGTATACACACATTGCCACCTCCATCACTCGACAAAAATCATCACAGCAAATATACCAGCACACCCCACAAAAACTAGTAACATCTTTACAACAACCAGTTTTCCACTTATGATGCTAATGCAAATACTGATATCATAGCAACAAAACCATGTCATCCTAATTTTAAGGTCTTATCATTCCTTAAAACATGATCCTAATAATAATTCATCAGTGCAACAATGCTACAAAATTAATGTAGCCAATATTATCAGCATTATCAAAAATAAAATAAATATGTATCGTATTCAAAATCATCGAAGAACAATATTTTATGTCTTAGTATATCAGAAACTGCTTTCATAAGACCATTTATATAGGATTTTTTATAATGAAATTTGATATCATCTATACTTACACTGTATCATTTACAGTTAATGGAGGATGGAGCAAGTGGAGCTCTTACAGCGCATGCTCAGTGACCTGTGGTTATGGTAAGATGACAAGGCGACGATACTGTAACAACCCCGCCCCAACAAACGGCGGGAAAGACTGTGATGGTAGCTCAGGGTTCACTGTCGTCTGCAAAAATGTCAACTGCCCAGGTATGATGATATTTACATGTAGTGGTACCTTATAACAACAAGTTTGACCATCATTTTGAGTTTAAAAAAAAGGGATGATCGTTTCAAGAAACTCAGCTGGAGATCTTTTTTCTTTCTTGCATAAATATAGCAAAATCAGGAAAACAGAAGGTTAAACATATATTGAACTATGCATTTACTTGTAATTGTTTTACTTAGAACATCTTGATGTAAAATACTTATACTTCTTACAGTAGATAGATTTTATAATTTTACAAATTATCCATAAATTTTACAATAATAACATAAAACTGACACATTTAATACTTTTAATTTTTTAGTTGATGGTGGCTTCAGCAAGTGGTCGTCTTGGTCTCCCTGTTCCAAGAATTGTGGTGGAGGAACTCGTGCTAGAGGCAGGTTGTGTAACAATCCGGTTCCAAAAGACGGTGGCAAGAAATGTGTTGGATCCTACACACAAACTCAGACTTGCAATTCCCAAGGCTGTGCTGGTAATTAAACAATTAGAATTAAACTTTCAAGGGAAAAAAATCATGCTTTCATGATCATTTTTTTCGATATCTTGTAATGAACTTTGTTGTATTTGTTTGTTTTGTTTTTTTTTGCGTTCTTTACCCCTCTCTTTCTTTTTTGTTGAAGAATATGAGACATGTAGGTGACAGTAATTGTATAAATACGATTTGTAATTTACAGTAAACGGTAACTGGGGCAAGTGGGGTGCATGGACATCGTGCTCAAATCCCTGTGGCACCGGCAAACAAACCCGCAAACGGTTGTGTAACAACCCCGCCGCAAAGAACGGAGGAAAGGACTGCGTAGGAGTAGACACAGACGGGAGATACTGTAACACACAGGCCTGTCCAGGTATTCCTTTGATACATCAATTTTTTGAAGGTGTTTTCCTGTCCAAAACTAATCTAGAATAATTTCCTCAAAAATTAAATCTAAACTCTACAGATTTACAGTCATGCATATTTAATTCTGTTCATTCTTAAAATACAAAGGTGAAACATAGTGGTAACGGCGAAAATCAACCGTCGAAAGTCAAAAGTATAATTTTATAGTAAAAATTTTCAACATCTCTTATTCATAAGAGAAAAAAAACAATATGCAAGACACGACAAAGACACTTCAATACAAATCACATATGCATATTTTTGCTACCGTATAAGTGGAAGTTTTAGCGAGACGCAAATTTAACGATTCGTCCTTAAAATTGGTATTTTATTTTTAGCGAGAAGTAATTTTAGCAATTTAAAAATGCTCACTTAAGAAGCTATTACAAATAAAACTTAATTAATTTTTAGCGATATCCAATTTTAGCGATCTCATCACCCCCGCCAATAATGCCAAAATTAAATCCTCGCTAAATATTCTGCTTATACGGTAGTTTATATTTAAACTACAGTTGTATTTAATGACTGATAAATTCATAAAACTGAAAGTTTTCCATAAGATTTTTAAGATGTGGTTTTTTCCCATAAGATTTTTTTTTTCTAAAAGTTTGGAATTTTAGAGGAAAATAGATTGAAGTATAGTAATACAATGATTCCTTGGGAAATTAAATTTTCATTTAAACAGTACATGGAAACTGGGGAACATGGGGTAAATGGACAAAATGCTCCAAGGAATGCGGAACAGGCAAGCAGACAAGAGCAAGGACGTGTTCCAATCCGGCGCCTAAACATGGCGGGAAAGACTGCGCTGGATTGGATCTTGACGGTCGCTACTGCAACACACAGAAATGTGCCGGTAAATGACAACCCTTAAAATGCCCTGCTTAAATACAAACCAGGAAAGCATCGCTTACTTACAATCTAGAAAACTCCCTTTTTGCCTATAATCAAGAAATACCCCGATGGATACACAGATGGATGTAAATCTAACACTATACCTAAATATTCCAGCTATTTACTTAACCACAAATTCTGCCTGGTAACATATATTTAGCGGTAAAATACAGCCCAGAAACGTCACGGTAAAACATACTAGTAACCAAGAAGACTTTTTCCCCCAAAATTTCCTAGTAAGTTATAAACTCAGAAATGTCCCGGTTACTTATAACCCAGAAATGTCCCGGTTACTTGTATACCCAGAAATGTCCCAGATACATACACCCAAAACTTCCTGGTAATTTATATACCCAGAAAAGGCCCGGTATATTGTATACAAGGAATGTGCTAATACTCAGAAATGTCCCGGTTACATTGTTTTATATGCAAAATTGTCCCGCTAACTTACATACACTAATAAATATCCCGGAGTGTTAAATACAAAGAATTGTTCCGGTTTCTTATCTACCCAGAAATGTCCCTGTAACTTTTATCCTAGAGATGTCCCTGTGACTTTTATTCTAGAAATGTTCCATTAAATTGCTCATTTATTACCTCCTTATTTATATACTTGTACAGGAATGACTCGATACCTTGTAAACCCTGAAATATCCCGGTAATTTATATACTGAGATATATCCTATTAACTTGTATACCCAGAAATACCCTGGTAAAGTATACACCCAGTAATGCTCCATTAGCTTACATACATAAATCCAGAAATGCCCCAATTTGTTTTATCTTCATAAATGTTCCGAAAGAAATGTCCGGTAATTAATATAATTGGAAATCTCCCGATTACTTCTATACCGAGAAATGTCCCGGTTTCATATACTTGTATTCAGAAATGTTCTGGTTGCTTACTGTAAAACTACTTGTTGAGGTGGTTATAATATTTTAGCGCCTTTCTCCCTGGTTCATCTTCGCTAATTCATGTACAAGCTAATATACATGATTAAAACTAATGCATGATTTTAAAAACTCAGTTGCGCTGATTTATGATTACGCTATTCAATTAAGGAGGAAGATTGCGCTAAATTTTGAATGCGATAATTTATATGTACGTTTACAGTATATACCAAAAATATCCAAGTAACCTATGTACCCAGAAATACCTTGTTTGCATATATTAATCCAGAAATACATGAGTTCTGGTAACTTTCATACCCACACAGACACATTGACATATCAAAACAGAGAATCCCTTAAAAATAACACCTTGAAATGCCCTAGTAGCATTTCCCGGTCATTATCAATGTAAGGACTTTGTTCTCATGTTCAATAAGTTATATTCTCTTAATTCAGAGAACTCTAGGTATTTGTACATGTACTCGCATGCGAAAATATCGGTACACAGGATAGATTTTCGAGCCTTCTTCATGGTTTCTGCAGATTAAACAAATCTATGATTGGTTAATATTGTATTGACCAACTGTTTTGTTTGAATAGTTTTACCTCAAATTTGATCATCGGGAAACACTGCTCTTAAACATATCATCATTTATAGTGGATGGAGGCTGGACTGACTGGACACCTTACAGTGGCTGCTCAGTGACCTGTGGTTTCGGAAAGATGACCAAGCGCAGATCTTGTACCAACCCAGCTCCTGCTCATGGCGGCAAAGACTGTGTAGGCAGCTCAGGGTACACCATAACCTGTAAAAATATCAATTGTCCGGGTAAGTAGTTCAGACAGTGCGAGAGAAATAACTTCAAATAAAATTAATTTGCTACTGAATGCTGCATTAATTTATTATTTCAATACCCTATAAGTTATTATCTGATAAGATATATCGGTCTGCAAGACGTGGATATCATGTGTTGAACTGTTTCAGTCGACGGTGGTTTCAGTAAGTGGAGTTTTTGGACGCCATGTTCTGCCTCTTGTGGTGGTGGATCACGAGCCAGAGGAAGACTCTGTAACAGCCCCAAGCCGCAATACAACGGGAAGAATTGTACCGGAGATTACATCCAGCGAGACAAATGTAACGCACAGGAATGTCCAAGTTAGTTTCCTTAATTCCACTAGTTTTTACATTAAAACATTACAGCTGTTAACCAATTTTTGTTTTGTATTTTGATTCAATTCCAATCATTCTCCATGTTCTGACCGTTCTTTGACAATTTGATATATCCTAGTTGATGGAGATTATTCTGACTGGAGTAAATGGGACACTTGTTCAGTAACATGCGGTGGAGGAACCAAACAGAGAACACGCACCTGCACCAACCCTGCCCCTAAATTTGGCGGGAAGGACTGCACGGCAGCTGCCTCACAGACTACAACCTGTAACAAACAGGAATGTCCCAGTAAGAACCATCGCAGAAGATATAACAAAAAATAAGATTTACCTCTGTTACAGAATCTGGTATTCCTCTGCCTTTGTGCGATACATGTCAGACCAATTTGGAGAATGTTTTCTACAATATAAATGAATTTTCTTGTTGTTTAGCAAAAATGCATGTTGATATATTTTCAAATAGTTGATGGCAAATTCGGCGATTGGTCGGATTGGGGAACTTGTACAGTCACATGTGGAGGAGGTGAACAGAAACGCAGCCGAAAATGTACAAATCCAGCGCCTCAGTTCGGCGGAAAACCATGTACAGGGGAGACAACCGAGGCTAGAGACTGCAATACACTAAACTGTCCAAGTACGCTTAATTATTCATACATATACAAAGTTTTGATAATTATTTACACAAAATATATACCTTTGAAAAGAGAGTCACAAGCAGGGCACATTATTGGGCACATCCTTGCTTAACAAAAAATTTCCCTAATCACAATCAGAAAAATGAACATTCTGTGCTTACAATAGATTTATTTTGCTGCAAAGATAATTGGTGAAAATATTGTTTATTTCTATGGGTTTTGAACTCTTTTGAATGATTATCTTTTGTAAATAACATAGGGAAAAGTAAAGAAATTTGAAAAGTAAAGTATTGCATTTCAGTTGATGGGGGTATGACTGAATGGACCCAGTTTGACACCTGTTCTGTTACCTGTGGTGGTGGATCACAGAGTAGAACTCGCTCCTGTACCAAACCCACCCCTCAGTTTGGTGGTAAAGACTGTTCTGGTGACCTGAACCATGCCCAGGATTGTAATGACCACCCCTGCCCAAGTAAGGAAAACACTGTATTTCTGTATATTTGTATTTTACACCTGTGGTAAGATCTTTAATGTATTTCCGTGCATTACAAAAGAGAGGATATAATACTTTATTGATGATCAGTTGACGGTGGCTACACTGCTTGGACTGACTGGGAGAAATGCTCTCTTACCTGTGGTGGTGGACTGCAGAAGCGAACTCGTACATGTACTAACCCCGCCCCTCAACATGGTGGGGCTTCCTGTTCCGGCGCAGATTCTGAGATTCAAGACTGCAACACACAAAATTGTCCAAGTAAATGAAAATACTTTGAAAGTTATTTCAAACATCATGACGTATAATGTAATATATGTAATTTAATTTGTTTACAAAAACTCGGAAGAGATACATAAGTAAAAAAAACTATAGAAGTGTAATGGTATTGACTTAAAAATTAAAACCAAACAAAAAAATTTGTTAAAACATAGAAATGTCTTACCTTTAACAATCTAAAATGGTTCCATAAAATGTATATACTTCAGAGTTTTAAATAGACCTTCGGAATATGTAATAATAAATATTGACCTGTTTTAGTTGACGGAGGCCTTACAGATTGGGGAAAATGGGGCACCTGCAGCGTGTCCTGTGGTGGCGGATCTCAGGAAAGAACACGCACGTGTACAAACCCCGAGCCTCGATATGGTGGCGCAGATTGTACCGGGGACCTGAAGGAAAGCCAGGATTGCAATACTCAGAACTGTCCAAGTATGCAATTTTGTTTGGAATTTATTCTTGGTTATATTTGTTTGATCCAGAGATTTAAGTCTATTTATGTTGTTTACTTAAAAGATATAAAATTATGGGAAAATAAACAAATTAAAACTATTTTTTAACGTAATAATTGACATTCTTCTTTCAAAGGTGTATATTCTTATTTCCAATTATTATCTTGTTCGATTTTTTTTTCCTGTATCTATAATTTTAATTTGCAAAAGAAAGAACGTTTTCAGAAATGCTAATAAACTGATTGTGTCTTTTAGTTGACGGCGGGTACAGCGTTTGGAGTAAATGGGACACGTGTTCAGTAACATGCGGAGGTGGATCCCAAAGTCGATCACGTACCTGCACAAACCCCGCCCCACAATATGGCGGAAAGTCTTGTAGTGGGGACCCAAAACAAAATAGAGATTGCAACACCCAAGAATGTCCCAGTAAATATCTATTTTATTCAAATTTATTTCATAAAAATATTCTTTCGTGCTTCAGGGATGATCTATATGATTATATAATTATCATTTTCTCTCATTTTTACAAAAATCCTGAAAATGTTTGTGTAACTGTCAATTTTTCCTTAAACCAGCGAGTAATATTGAACGTGATCCTCTTTTCAGTTGATGGCGGTTACTCTAAGTGGGCAGACTGGACCCCATGTTCTCAAACATGCGGGGGTGGATCACAAGAGCGTGAAAGGACATGTACTAACCCTGCTCCCCAATATGGTGGGAAGGCTTGTAGCGGAGTAGCTGATGAAATTCAGGATTGTAACACTCACAAATGCCCAAGTATGTATATAATGCTTTGTATTTTACTTCACATAGAATTCATGTACAGTATTATTTTTGAATATGTAATCTATTGCAAGTTGTGATTATGGTAAATGTTATAATTCAACTTTAACCATGGAAAAGCAGGGTAACATAATATGCGAAATTTTTTTGACTGAGTGGACGAAAATTATGATAATTGGTCAGAGGGATATCTTGGCTACAGTGCACTAAAATCGGTGTTCCAAATTACTCAACCGTGAAATGTATGACGTCAGCTAGGAAAAGTAATAAAAAGCCAAAAGCACGTGCATATTAATGATGTCAGATTTTATAGAACTTCTTGATGCACTGGAGTTATACACATAATTTTTTTTAGTATTTACAGTCGATATGAATTTCTTGTAATCATGGTACGGCTGATGGAAGTCCCATGGGGTCTAGTAATTGAATTGCCTATGTGAAGAAAAAGGCAACAACACGTTGCTGTGCCGTTTGTTATTAATTTTCCGCCATAGAACAATTTATACGTTGTCAAAGAGGAACAGAAATGGTTTCCAACCAACCGTGACGGTGACGTTGGAGCGTAACAACGTCATATGAAAATAAGGTTTTTCATCCTGCCACCTGTATAATCGCCACGGTATTACCACTGAAACAGATTCTAATACTGTAAGCAATCATAAGCATTACATTCACTCTAAAACTGATAGAAATCCATTGTTCTTTTTTAGTCCCTGAGCTCGTCAACCTTACGTCGGCGATACTCTCACTCGCGCACGTGTGCGTCGTAAGCCTAATTATTCAGCATGTTCACCCCCAGGAAAATGTTGTCAGAGTTTGTCAAGACTTTCTCATAAATATTCACATTTACCAAATCAACTGGCATCCGTAAATTCTATCTTTTTTTCCAATTGAAAATCTGTGAGACTAACTGGATGCTAGGGTTTGAAGACGTCAGTAAGACTTGACCAACAAGGGGCTGCCCTGTCGGAAGGGTTGAATAAGTATCCCTATGTAAAAGATAAACGCTCTTATGAACTTCATGCACAGGAAAATCAAGGTTTTAATAGACACGCGAGGGAAATATTGCGAATTTTAATTTTAATTTTTGGGGGGTACCGTCATATGAAATTCAATAACTTATGAATTATCAGTCAAAATCAAATGAGATTTTGGTATCTTGTTTATTAAAGATGAGTTTAAATGATAGATAACAATACTGAAAAATACCTTTGAAAAAAATAGCATTAATTCACTTCGAAAGTTTGCCCTGCGTTTCTTTTTCCTTTCAGTATATGTGCATTATATGAAATAACAAAATCTTTTGTAACCAGCTACAGATAACAACTTAATTATATACATAAAATATATTTTGATTGCTGTTTCGTTTCAGTTGATGGAGGATACACTAAATGGTCAGACTGGGAGCCTTGCTCAGTCAGCTGTGGAGGTGGTTCTCAGAGCAGGACAAGATCATGTTCCAAGCCCAGTCCCCAGTACGGCGGGGCCCCTTGTGTTGGTGACAACAAAGAGTCACAACACTGTAACACACAATTCTGTCCAAGTACGTGCACACTATTTAAAAAAAGGATAAAGAGCTGTTCAAATATTGATTTTAAAAAATGTAATGTTGGCAGTGCTTTTCAAAAAGATGATGAAACACATTAAACCTTGTTTTATGTGGTTGATTTTTTTGACTTATTCCTGTTCGCTTCTTAGGGAGCATATGTGGTTGACAACAGTATAAATTTTCTACAAATTCTGAATATTTGATATAGTTTGAAGAGACAGATTCTTTTTTTAAACTTTGATACATATATGTATATTACAACTACTACCAAAATGCATGTGACATGCGTATAAGGTAGTGTTAATTGAGTTTCAGAGACCACCTTTACAAAAATGTTCAGGGTAATATAAATAATTTAGAGAAGATCTTGGTGGAACAAATTACAATTTCCTTGATTAAGTGTTTAAATCAAAAATAATTATATGAGAAGCATATGATTCGACAGTATCTTTTAATTCTTTATTTCACATTAAGTTGTTTGGCTGTACATTGAAAATTCTCTGATAAATATAGCATTATTCCAAACAGGTAACACAAAATTTGAATTTACTTCCAGTTGATGGAGGTTACACTGATTGGTCTAAATGGGACACGTGTTCTGTGACATGTGGTGGAGGCACACAGAAGCGAACTCGTTCTTGCACCAACCCAGCCCCACAATACGGCGGCGCAGCTTGTTCCGGTGACAACGAGGAAAATCAGGACTGCAACACTCAAGCTTGTCCAAGTACGAAAAACCATGAATAGTAATTCAATGTATTATCGTTATAACATTGTTAAAGCCAAAGTTCACATTATTCTTTTTTTTTCATTGTGTAAATGAAAGACATCTGTCATGGAGAATTCTCTCTTATTTATTTCCTTCAGTTTACTGTCTTAGATATTGACAATATTTCGACAATCACATTGCATTTTAACTCATAACACCGTTAAACACAAATATAAAATAGTTAACGTCTACCATAGTTGATGGAGGTTTCACTGATTGGTCAGCCTGGGACACGTGCTCTGTCACTTGTGGCGGAGGAAGTCAAGGTAGAACTAGAACTTGCACTAATCCGGCTCCACAATATGGCGGCGCTGACTGTTCCGGTGACAGAAAGGAATCTCAGGCATGCAATGAACAGAACTGCCCAAGTACGGATACAGTCTTGTTGATTTTTAACCCTTTTCAAAGTTCTCATAGTCCTTTAAAAAAAAGCTAAAGAGCAGCAATCTAGCAATTTTTAGGAAATAATTTCATTATGCATTCAGCATTAAAGTTTGTAACAATGAGTATCAGTAAATGTTCCATTTTACAACTCCAGTTGATGGTGGTCACACTGATTGGTCGGCTTGGGACACGTGTTCTGTCACATGTGGTGGAGGAAGTCAGGGTCGAACAAGAACGTGCACAAACCCGGCACCAGAATATGGCGGAGCAGATTGTACGGGACCTTCTTCTCAGACAGATGACTGCAACACCCATCACTGTCCAAGTACGCTCAGTTCTTTATGAAGAACATGTGCAATACATCTAATTAGAAATATATACCCACTTACATTACTGCAATCCTTTCATGTTACACATTTTTTAAAATAAAATTTGGTGTATTTCCTTCAAATTTGAAATAAAAAATTCCGTGTTACTTTTAGTTGATGGCGGGTTCAGTGATTGGTCAGCCTGGGACACATGTTCTGTTACGTGTGGTGGCGGATCACAGAGGCGAAGTAGAACATGTACAAACCCGGCCCCTCAGTACGGAGGAGCTGCTTGTGTTGGAGACGAGAGTCAAGTACAGGACTGCAACACCCACTTCTGCCCAAGTAATACAGCACATCTACGTCTATTAAAAGTTTTAAAACTTTTCAACTAAGTTATACTTCTATTTCTAATTAAAAGAAACTAAATTATAATCAACATTGAAAATTTATTTCTGATCTTAAGTTCACTTTACACTGGTCTGGTAAAATTTAAAAATATAGATTTCTCTCTTTTCATTCCCAATTCTAAACTGACCCTCTTCCAATGCCAAAGTTAGACCACCCTCTAGTGTCAATGTGCATTTACAATACACACGTTTATACTATTTTACATTACAACCTTAGTTGACGGTGCTTTCACTGATTGGTCGGCCTGGGACACGTGCTCTGTGACATGTGGAGGCGGATCACAGGGCAGGGCTAGGACTTGTACAAACCCCGCCCCTCAGTATGGAGGTGCTGACTGCACAGGAGATAAGTCCGAGGAACAAAAGTGCAATGAACACCACTGCCCCAGTAAGTTTAGAAAAAGTTTGAATTTCAATTTCCTGTAAATTGTCTGTAAACTTTCATTTGTTTTCAGCTAAAATTGCAATTTTTAATGCAAAGCCCTCGGCAAGATGAAATGGGATGGGCTTAAGAAGAACAAGTAAAAATCAGAAGAGGGGGAAACCAAAAAAAATATCAAACGTATCCAAATTTGCTTTTTGAGTTAAATAATTTTCTAATTCATCATGATCAGAAAAGCCTAAGAAGATACGGTATAATTTTCAGCTGGAAATTTTTGAATTATATTTGTAAAAGGTCATAGCATAAACATCGTGATTTAAGAAAGAATACTTATATACAGTTGATGGAGGATTTACATCGTGGAATGATTGGTCCGCCTGTTCTGTAACATGCGGCGGAGGATTACAGAACCGCAGCAGAACCTGTACAAATCCGCCACCACAATATGGCGGCGCTACATGTAGTGGGGATCCTGATGAGATTCAAGACTGTAACACACAAAATTGTCCAAGTGAGTTCTACTTTATTATTGGTCTATTTGTTCACGGTGTGAAAGGGTTATCACTTTTCACTGATGCTTTTCTAGCAAATATAATCGGTTAAGATTCTAAATTATGCTTACACTTAACAAATAAATGAGTAAACACTTGCAAGGTGTCTAAGGTTTTCTGCATTGAATGCCAGTATTATCATTGTTATGATCTAGTTGGATTTAAATGTAGTTGTGTGGTTTAGCACCTTCTTAAATACATTCTAAACAATACATTTTATAGAATCTCAAGACCTTACTTTCTGAGGTATCAATAAATTATCAATTCAACATTTTACAATTAGTTTTGAGGTTTTGAGGTTTATTATGTCGCAGTTTTAGCAATATCCCTAATTCTTATTAATATTTCTTGTTACTGGATGTCTTTTCCTCTTCCCATTTATATTTTTACTGGCCTTACAGCTCTATCGACTTCGTATACGACCAAACTTGAATTTATACGTTAAATAGAATAACACATAGAGTTTATTGCACGGCTTACTACGGAATATAACTAGCAATCTGATTTTTTTTATATTTTCAAAAATAAAGAAATGAATAAATAAATAAATTAAATGAAAAATGGCAATAATTTTTCCCAGAAGCTTGTTTTGAAACTATGTTTCTAATTCAATACCACTGATACTTTTTGAATTACAAGGGGTGTATGATTTTTTTTCTCCTCTTAGTTGACGGAGGTTACACTGAATGGTCCGGTTGGGACACTTGCTCTGTCACGTGTGGTGGCGGATCTCAGGGCAGAACAAGAACCTGTACCAATCCGGCACCGCAGTATGGCGGCGCAGCTTGTGTTGGAGCTGATAACGAGGCTCAGGATTGTAACACACAAAACTGTCCAAGTAAATTTATATTCAGAATTTCTCTTTCGATCGTACAAGCCATTTGTTGATATAGCTTATAATTTTTTTCATAATTATCAAATATGGGACAATACTTGTCGTTTATAGATTTGTATATAGCATGGAAGAATAAAGTTATTGTATAAAACGTTCAGTTGGCTGATTCTTTGAAATTGCATCAATTTAAGCCAAATCAAATTTATGTTTTAAAATTAACAGTTGATGGAGGATTCTCTGATTGGTCCGCCTGGGACACGTGTTCTGTCACGTGCGGTGGAGGAAGTCAGGGCAGAACAAGAACATGCACAAACCCAGCTCCACAATATGGTGGCGCTGACTGTACCGGTGATCTGACAGACACTCAGGACTGCAACACTCAGAATTGTCCAAGTACATTTGATTATTCGAAATTAGTTGTCATGTTTGGTTATATCATCATTATTTGCTTGGAAAATGTCAGTTAAGTCTGATTTCCAACTAAAATGAGAATTTCAAGCTTTAGAATGTTAAATAGAAATTTAATTTCAGTATACTAATTTCAGTTGATGGAGGCTTTACAGATTGGTCAGCCTGGGACACGTGCTCAGTGACATGTGGTGGCGGTTCTCAAGGTCGATTAAGGTCATGCACAAACCCAGCTCCTCAGTATGGCGGAGCTCAATGTGTGGGTGACGTTTCACAGGATCAGGATTGTAACACACATAACTGTCCAAGTATGCCAAATATGAATTACTTGTATAAGAAAAGTTTGCTTGTTAAATTTGTTCTTTCAGCCTTTTATCTATTCTAAAGAGGAAATGAACAGTTGAAACAGTATTAAAGGGAAAATTGTAGTTGAGCAAAGAAAAAAGAAAAAAAAAATCTTTTAAAAATATGAAATATCTTATTCTAATAAAGTAAGATATTGTTAAAATGTTTTTATATTGACTTATCTTAAATGTTGTCTGGGTAACCAATGTATAATGTTTTCCAGTTATTAGACAAAAAGTGTATAGTTTTTATCCAGGTTTTTGATACAGTGTAACAAATTAATATTTTATGACATATATGACATAGCAAGTATAAAACGAAATACCATATATAAAAAAACATCCAAATTATTATTTTATTTTATCTATGATGTTTATTTTGTGTCCAACAGTTGATGGCGGATACACAGACTGGAGTGATTGGGATCTTTGTTCCGTCACATGCGGTGGCGGATCTCAGAACAGAAGCCGTAGCTGTACCAATCCCATGCCCCAGTATGGAGGGGCTGATTGTACCGGGGATGGCGAAGAGCATCAGGATTGTAATACACAAAACTGTCCTAGTGAGTCAAATAAAACGTTAATGACGACAGTTCAAAGTATATTTATTATTTACCTTTGATAAAGAAAAACAATTTCTTTTTAATATGCTTTTAAGTGTTTTTATAGTATTTGAAATATCAATTATGTACGTATTTTTACTTCACCTTTTATAGAATAGAATATCACCAAACTTAAAATGTAATATTTTTATATCAAAATAGTTTATATTGAATTTAATTTTTCAATAGTTGATGGAGGCTTCTCTGATTGGTCAGCCTGGGACACGTGTTCTGTCACATGTGGTGGAGGAAGTCAAGGTAGAACCAGGACTTGTACAAACCCAGCACCACAATATGGCGGTGCCGATTGTTCTGGTGATCTGAAAGAAAGTCGGGATTGCAACACAGATTTCTGTCCAAGTATGTAGTGACTTATATGCTAGTGAATTGTTAGTATGTTGCATACCATGAATGCCTTTTTTTCATGTTAATATTGATTGTTTATTTCACTTCATATGCAAATTATTTTAAAAATGAGAGGTTTCCTCCCTCTCTATTCTGGTCTTTTTTTCCTATCTCGAGATCGAATTTAAATAAAACTACTGTCATTAAAATCATGTGATAGACATATTATTAAAAGGTATAATTTCAAATTTTTGGTTGGTTATTGTATGGGGAAACTAATGGCAAGTAAAAAATATATCCTCTACGTATGAATAATACGTTTGTCAATCAGGAACGAGAAATCCCAATATTAATTATCTGTGACAAGGCTACGTAATTTATATTTCAAAACAGCAATTTTGAACGTTTCTAACGTAAATTTGCAAGTTATGAATGTAAAAGTTTGAACATTTGTTTTGCCAAAGTTACTTGTAATCCCTTCTATACGCGGCTCATTCTTCACAATGGTATGCTGTATTACTTACTTACTTGGGTGTAAACATAAAGAAACCAAAATATGATACTGTGTAAAATTTATAACTACTACATCCAGCAATCACAGTGATTTTGATTTTTTGTTTTAAACTTTTAAAATTCAAAATTGATTTTTTTTTAATTTCACTTACAATACACGTTTTGTAAAACTGATGCATCCTTTCCTTGTAGTTGATGGCGGTTATACAGATTGGACGGTTTGGGACACGTGCACAGTCACGTGTGGAGGAGGGTCACAGACACGTACACGCACATGCACAAACCCGGCACCACAATACGGTGGTGCAGACTGTTCCAGTCTTGGAGATGAGTCACAATCTCAGGACTGTAACACACAGGCTTGTCCAAGTAAATAATCAATTCTATTTAATATCTAATTTAAATTTTATAATTAACTAAAATATTTTCTATAATAGACCTTTGAGAGGTTCAGTTATGAAGTTTGAAATAGTTCAGATGATCTACTTTCTGTTTTGGTGAATAAAACTAGATTTTGTTTGAACTTATCAGTACCTAAATATACTTTTTAAAAGGATTTACCCTTAACCTTTACTCGTGTTTAATTGATCAGTTGATGGTAGCTTCGCGGATTGGACAGATTGGGATGACTGTACTGTGTCCTGTGGAGGTGGATCCCAGGGTCGTACCAGAACCTGTACCAACCCCGCCCCTCAACATGGTGGGGCTAACTGTACTGGAGATTTCGCACAGTCCCAGGACTGCAACACACAAAACTGTCCCAGTATGTCAGCATTTAACATTATTCATAAAAACCATTTAAGATGGAATAATGAGAAAGAACTAGGAACTTCTCCATTAGGCTTATGATAACATAGTGTTAACAATATTTTCAAGTTAAAACATTAAAAGATGATAGATCAAATGCAAAACAAAGAAATAATATAGAATTGAAATATATCTTCCATTTCAACAAAAAATGACATTCATGGCTAGTAATGTAATTAATAAAAGTAATATTGTTCAGTTGATGGAGGTTACACCGACTGGACACAATGGGATACATGTACAGTGACATGTGGTGGCGGTTCCCAGGAGAGATACCGTAATTGTACCAACCCTGTCCCACAGTATGGAGGAGCGGATTGTACGGGAGTGGACGCTGAGATTCAAGTCTGTAACACAAACAACTGTCCAAGTAAGTCTGACATATCAGTGAAATATACGTTGAACTATTAAGAATTATTTTGCAACCTGCATATAGGGATAGATTAGAACAATTCATATTTTGTCGCTTTTTTCAAATTATGTTTACTTGAAAAGCTTTTAAGTATTTTTTACATCTCTGATATAAACTTTTGTTTAAAATAAAAACATATGTATAATTTGCTACATATGAGTGTTCCGCGAATACTTGTAAGGAAATAGTTGCTTTTTGGTACATATAAGTCCTTGGATGAACAATTTATGAAAATTGTTCCTTAACATTTCATTTACAAGAACAGTGATTATTACTGTAGGGTTGTTATCGGATTCCCACAAAATGCTCCAGTACCAATGTACTATTTCAATTTGTTTAAGGTCACCAAGGCTTTAATCTTTAGTGCATTAAAATAACCAGACCTTTCACAAACCAAATTTACTATTAAACACGTACAAAGTAAGTTGTCATTTTTAATACGACATGGTGCGGAGACTTTCAAACACGGTAGGTAGAACTACTTAACATGTTTTTCTTTTAATCATTGGATCGACTCTTTATCTTAGAATGATGTATCTTTAGCATGAAATGTCAATGTAAAGATAAATCCTTAAGGAACTCCCTTTTTGCTCGGGAGCTGTTGAACAAGTAAATCATGTACATGTATTTTATTAATACAATTTGATACAGAGAAATCATGAAAGAAAATCGATGCATATATGTCTAAATTAATGTACATGTCTAAATTTTAATAATGCTGAAGAAAATTAACAGTAATTTTTCTACTTTGTCTTCTACTCTAGTCTTCGACAGTAGTTTTATTACTAAAAAAAATATATACTCAACTGAAATTAACTTTAAAAAAATACATCATGGCCATTATAGAATTAAGAGTAAAAACAAATTAAAACTTTCTGAAGGGCATGGTAAATGTTCTGATTAAGGAGTATGCCTGCCTCTCAGTTGAATTACTTTTTGACACATCTACATCCCAGGAAGCTCCAGATTGGCTTTATGGATACTACAGGAAGAATCCTTGTTGAGAGCTTGAGAAGTTTCTCTGATGATCCTTGAGCGATTCTCAATTTTTGAAGTCGATGCATATATTTTCTTCTTGAGGAAAAATAATTGACAACTCTTCGGTATCATAATATGTTAAGAGCTCCACTCTTGACAATTGCAGCACGTGCCATAGATCAATGGAAACTTTTGCCACTCACATCAGCAGAGAAAATTAACAATTCAGTCATATTCGCTCACACTGTGACTACGAATGTGCTTCTTAACTGTTTGCTTCTTTGGTTTGGTTGTCGTACTGACTGAAGGCCTTGAAATTCAAAATTCACCACTGTGAAGACGATTCAAAGCATATTTATTGAAAAGAGAGGAGGTCGTCTTGTACTTTAGGTTTAAAGCCAGACTCATTTGGTTTGATTTGGTCACAAGCAGGTGACAGGAGGAACGGATGCTCTCTGGTGGTGCTTTCATCTGTTTGAAGTCAAAAAGTTGGTTTCGATTGAAGCTGAATCTGGATAACAAATAACATCACATTTTGAGAACGAATTTAATAAGATGTAAATACCATTCATCGTTTTATTAGCATTTTCGTTGAAAGACCACATATTCTGTCATCTTCAGTTGACGGAGGCTTCTCTGATTGGTCAGCCTGGGACACGTGTACTGTAACATGTGGTGGAGGAAGTCAAGGTAGAACCAGAACTTGTACAAACCCAGCACCACAATATGGCGGCGCTGACTGTTCCGGTGAACTGACAGAGAGACAGAATTGCAACACAAACTTCTGTCCAAGTACGTCTGAACAACCACGAGCAAAACCGAACAAGTTACAATTTTGTAGAAGTTTTTTCACCAAGAAACTATTGAGTTTGATCTTTAAGACGCTATCACTGATTCTTTCCTATAAAATCTTCTTCTTTCCTAAAAAATCAAGTGGAAGTGATGAAATGTTAAAGTTAGTGAGGACAAAGGATGTTGTAAACAGATAGTGTATGTGTCCCTGTTAATATACCCATCATTGTATCATCCAAGCGCGTGATATTATTTCATTAAACAGTTGATGGAGGATACACTAGTTGGACAGTATGGGACACGTGCACAGTCACGTGTGGAGGCGGGTCACAGACACGCATACGAACATGTACTGATCCTTCACCTCAGTATGGTGGAGCGGACTGTTCTAGTCTTGGTGTTGCTACAGAAACCCAAGACTGTAGCACACAGGCCTGTCCTAGTAAGAGTTTATGAAAGAATTATAAATCCTGTAACATTCATAGGGATGATGAATTGGAGAATAATGGCCATGATACTGGAGATGACTGTGAATTCTGGTAACTTATTTAGAATTTCTTTAATGTCTCTTTCTCTCAGTAATGTACAAACTTTGACATCCTTTAGTTGACGGGGGCTTCTCTGATTGGTCAGCCTGGGACACGTGTACTGTCACATGTGGTGGAGGAAGTCAAGGTAGAACCAGAACGTGTACAAATCCAGCACCACAATATGGCGGTGCCGATTGTTCCGGTGATCTGAAAGAAAGTCGGGATTGCAACACAGATTTCTGTCCAAGTATGTTTTTTCACAAAACACAACATGTTTTAAGTCTTTTATACAAGGCAAATTTGTAACATGGTAAAAACATGAGTACTGCAGTTAGTTGCATGGAGCTAAGACTACTATACAAAAACAATAACTTGAGACGGACAATGCATCATTAATTACATGTTTATCACACAAGTACATAAATTTACAGTTGATGGAGGATACACTAGTTGGACAGTATGGGACACGTGCACAGTCACGTGTGGAGGAGGTTCACAGACACGCACACGTACATGTACTGACCCCTCACCACAGTATGGTGGAGCGGACTGTTCTAGTCTTGGTGTTGCTTCAGAAACTCAAGACTGTAGCACACAGGCCTGTCCTAGTAAGGGTTAATGAAGAAAGTGACAGACAATTGCCATCTTTCCATGCCTTACGACTTAAAAACTAACATTTGTGTTACATATTTCTGTCCCCTTTTTGAAATCTTTCGACGAACATTTCTTATGATACTTTCTATATAGATTAAAAATTGATGTACAGATTATATATGCACTACACTTTTGAGAAGTTAAAAAATATCAAATTATACTAGTCATTATACTGGAGTAGCTTGTGAAATCCAAAGATATATTTGAGAAGTATTGCGATAGCTTTATTCTCCTTATTGTATTAAATATGAAATTCTTTAGTTGATGGAGGCTTCACTGATTGGTCTGCATGGGACACGTGTTCTGCCACGTGCGGTGGAGGAAGTCAGAGTAGAACCAGAACTTGCACCAATCCTATCCCACAATATGGTGGCGCTGACTGTATCGGTGATCTGACAGATACTCAGGACTGTAACACAGACTTCTGTCCAAGTATGTTCTGAAAGAATTATGAGTTGAAGAATGAAAGGGACAATTTTCAAGAGAGAGAAAACAATGAAATGTATTTTATGTAGAGTTAATAAATTGAAATCGTTGCTTTTGTCAAAAATGTTATTTAGATATTATGAAATAGATATTTTAATGAGGTTTCTAATGAAACATTTATGATGCATACACTTAAAAATTTTCCCCTGGATACTTTCACGTAGTACATGTTTGTACATCATAAGCGTATACTCGTTTACTACTTGGATTCCTTAGTACATTTTAAAGCACAAACACAAACCATTGGTGTCTAACCATACTTGTAGTTGATGGAGGTTACACGAACTGGACACTTTGGGACACGTGCACAGTCACATGTGGCGGAGGGACTCAGACACGCACACGTACATGTACCGACCCTGTACCACAGTATGGTGGAGCTGACTGTACTGCTCTTGGCGTTTCTTCAGAAACTCAGAATTGTAGCTCACAGCCCTGTGCTAGTAAGTCTACACAAATTAAATGAATATTTGGGTCAATGCATAGGTGCAAATTTAAAAAATCAAAAATATTCAAGGGAAAAAACGCCCGCGTGGCGCAGTGGTTAGAGCGTCTGCTCTAGAGTCGCGAAGTTGATCCTTACGTCGGGGGTTCGAATCCCAGTGTGGGACGTGGAGACCGGTCCTTCGGATGAGACCGTATAAACCGAGGTCCCGTGTCGCAGTAGGTGCTGGCACGAAAAAGATCCCTCACTGCTCAATGGCCGTAAGTGCCGAGTATAGGACAAAATTTGCAGCTCTCCACCGGCAAGTGGTGGCGTCTCCATATGAGTGAAAAATTCTCGAGAGGGACGTTAAACAACATACAATCAATCAATCAAGGGAAAAAATACCTATATGTACATTGAAAAAAGAGAGACAGTGTTGTGATTGCAACACAAAATATTTTTATCAGTTTTACTCCTGAAGAGAAAATATAAATATTGTTAAAACTGAAGAGAACAGTTCTTTTAATTTAATTCAGTGATAAATTTGCGCTATATTGTTGTTTAAGTAAAGCTTTATTCTGTTCGTTATACATATATATATATAAACAACCAATTTCAACCAAAGTTGATGGAGGCTTCTCTGATTGGTCCGCCTGGGACACGTGTTCTGCCACATGTGGTGGAGGAAGTCAGAGTAGAACCAGAACATGTACAAACCCCGCACCACAACATGGTGGCGCTGATTGTTCCGGTGATACATCAGAGACTCAAGATTGTAACACACAGGCCTGTGCTGGTCAGTTTCTACTTGTATTATGTTGCAAATTTCAGCTTAAGCAAACACTTCTTTGTAAAAGTAGATTAATATAATTTTGCATTGCTGCACAGTCTTGTGTGAATGTTTTGATGACATTTGTTCAAAGACTGGAAAGAAATAATAAATGATCGTAAAATTTTATACAATGAACAGATTTTTCTGCAAGTTTCTAAGTACCGATATTATAAATTAAAAATTTGGTAAAACCAGACCAGGACCTATAATCTCATAAACCTAGGGAAAATCATTTGGCACATAAATATCATTAACTACTAGAAATTTCTTGTGTTAAAATTTTCAATCTCTCAAGCACAATTTAGTAATAGTCAATGGAATGTACGTGTTACATAACACAACAAACGTTTTATGCTTTTTGATTTAGCCAAAGGGGTATCACTGCATTAACATTAATAAATGAAACATTCATCGTATTAGCCTACTCATTGTATTGATATCGTTAATTTATAACAGTGAATGGTGGCTGGAGCGATTGGTCAGACTGGGGTACCTGTACTGTCACGTGCGGAAATGGACAGCAGTCAAGATCTAGGACCTGCACCAACCCAGCTCCTTTCAATGGCGGACAGGACTGTCTGGGAGATTCCAGTGAATTAAAAGACTGTTCAATGACCACGTGTGGACCACCAACCAACGGAAACAGTGGACAAGTAAGATTTATTTGTTGTAACGATCAACTGGCTTTCCTGAGTCATACTTTTGAGATTTCTTTTTAAAAATAGACGATTTGTATATCACATGCTAAAGTTTCTTCTTAAATAGACTTGAAAAAAAAATAATTTGACTTGTTCATTTCAGTTTATCTATAAGATCTGAGATTTTCTGGAAAGTCATATCCCATACTTGTAAATATGTTGGATTTCAGTGTCCCGCAGGTTATTTCGAATGTTTCTCTGGAGCTAGGAAGTGTGTATAGAAGTTGTTTGTCTACGATTGTTCTGTACTACTAATTATTTTGTTTTCAGTGCCCCGCGGGTTATTTCGGCTGCTTCTCCGGAGCCATGACATGTGTGGAGCAGGCATTCGTCTGTGATTGTTCTGGTGAATGTGACGACGGAAGTGACGAAGACGAGAAGTGGGCCGGTTGTCCTGCCGGACATATTAACGCTTGTGTGGCCAAGGCTGGAGCAGGTATATAAAACGTCATAACTTACAAGTCATTGAGTATCAGCGTTGTTTTCAATTGGCATAAAATAACATGCCCTGTGAAGTATATATTTTTTCTTAATAATATAACTATATAATAAGAAAATCATTACAAAGCATAAAATATTTGCATATTTATTGGAAAATACGTAAAGTTTTTTTTTTTCTGGTCATATGTAAATAGTGCGTTCACAATAGAACATGTTCGCGAACTTTGTCTTGCTTTCTAAAGTGTTTGTCAAAATTTAAGAGCGTATAGATAATGACTGAAACGCTGAAGTTTAGTGAATAAATACGCAAATCTCTAGAGTATATTTCTGTAGAAAAAAACGTCTGATCAATTGATATATTTTTATGCCTAACAAAATGTTTTATTTATTGTATTACAGAGCTACCCAGAATGGCGCCTATGATGACTATTATATTAGTTGCTTTTGCAGTTATAAAGAATTTGATTTTTTAACCTGTCCTTCACTCTCCAAAAATCTTTGATGAAACGAGAACACTACTACGTGTATTCTATTTGTTTGCTTTTGCAATGTCACCTTTATGTTCTTTTGCTGAATAACTGCACGTTTTGTTATTTGTAAATTTCTTGTTTTTTGTAATAAATTTCTTTCCAAGAAAGATAATGTAAATCATTGTATAGAAATTTGCCTTCGAACATACTAAACATTTCTTTTTCAAACTTAGCTTCATTGACCTGTTAAAAAAGATCAGACTGTTGTTTCTATCAAGTTGAGAAAAAAAAATCAGGATTTTTTTGTGCACAGGACGTTAAGAAAATCTACCTGATAGCTCTCTGCTAGTCAGAATGATTGTTTTAAAGTTGAACCTCGGTCCGCACTTTTTACTGATATCTCTACAACAAGGATGGATAAAGTACTAATTGTTATCTATTGAACTATTCCAATCCAGGGAGGCGTACATTCTATATACATATCCGCTGAGGCAGTGGAGCTGTGGGGTTTATAAGATAAGGGAATGTTTTAAAATTAGTAACGAGAAGTTCAGTTAGAAATTTGAAGCTGATAAGTAAAAATTAATTATTAGTCTTGCACTTTTGGATCCACCATCAGTAAATTCATGGTCTTGTAGCGTCCTGTTAAATCTACTATAATCAACTTACCAGTACAACTTTACTAGGATTTTAGCAATGGATGATGTTTTCTTGCACTCTATGTAAAGGCTGATTCTGTGCGTGACATGATTACTTCGTTAATTGTATGATTAATTATGATTTATATGCATAGCTACATGAATTGACTTAGTAATTTACAAATGCAATACCCTATAAGCAAGAAAATACGTGTAACACAATTTTACTTTTCCGGTTCCCTCGTTCATCTAGACAATCTTCAAAAGTACAAACCCGAAAACTCTACTGGATGTTTGAATATCTTCTTTTTATTTAATTTAAGGTAACAATTGTGTAAACTTGAGCTCAGTCAACACACTGTGATGTACGCATGTGATTTGCACCTTTTCCTTTGTTTTGAATTAGTTTGAATATCCTTCCAAATATTGTTATCTTTATGTAAAGTTGAGTAGTTTACTAATTTGCTTACTGGGTCTTCATCATATCAATTTAGTATAGGGCCAAAATAAAAAAATAGGTTTGTTTCCCCTAACGCGACCGACCCACTTAAATCGTGCCGACTTAAAAGTTTTTGTAATAAGATTATTCAAATATTTATTTTTATTGTTTATCAACTCTATAAAATACAATTTCATCAAAATTCGTTTTTTATCAGAATGACGACTTTTGTTTTACTCTCATTTGGCGCCCACAACATGTGGCCACAGAGGGTTATTAAGTGTTATAAAACAACGGCGATGTATCAATCTTAATATACATTTTTAACTTATTAGAATCCTACACTCTTGAGACATTTCGTGAATTAAATATACCATGACTAAGGAGTGTTAAGATGGTATTTACAAATGTGTCTTCTAAAATTAACGTACATAGTAAGCATGACAAAGCCTGCCTCAGGAGCAGATGAGGGGCCCACTTTGTGTATGCATATCAATAAATTTCACTGCATTTCATTCGTTTTGATCTAAAAACACTCCATGTATGATTTTATTTTTACTATATAGGACCAAGGGATTTGTAAATATATCTTTGTATAATTATTTCATCTTGATGAATATAATTCGGATGTCGTTTCTTTATTCCTTTTATTTATGGGGTAAACTTCGTGACTATAACATTAGATATATGAAACTTTAATTATTTTAGATATGGTTTGGTTGAATTAAATATTGTTTATACAGGTACTCTCTTTTCAAATAGTGTTGAAATCTTTCAAGCTGGCGTATGGTACGACTTCCTGAGACGTCCAGTGTATTTTTCTTTTCTTTAGTTGGGCCCTTGAAAATAGGTTGTTTCTTTGCTTTAAAATACCTTTAAAAATTGCTGGGTCGACAACATTTGAACACCTGCCTGGTGGAGGGCTCCTAATTTAGACTTTTTCTCGGCACTTATGGCCATTGGTCATACATGTAAAGCATCAGTAAGGGATCTTTATCGTGCCAACATCTACATGTATACTGTGACACTGCATGGCCCTACGTTTTTTACGGTCTCATTTGACTGACCAGTTTCTACGCCCCACGTCGGGACATGTGACTTAGAATAAGCTCCCGAATTACGTCGTGACTCCAAAACGAAACACTAGAATTACTACGCCACGCGAGGCCCTTGACATTTTATCTGTGTAAGCACTCGAAGATGATAGTAGGTTTAAAAAAATATACTCGGATGGCCGATGGTTGAGTTTTGCGAATCTTCTCTTTCTGTAAAAATTCAATTTCAATAAATTTAAAATTAAGTTCGAATGAATAATATTTGTGAATTAATTTACCATACATGTGAAATTTCATTTGTATGATATTCGGTTTAAAAATCGGTTTCTTTTGTTCTTTCTTATTTATACAGCTACTATTCAATTTCCAGAATGTATTTTCAAAACTGCTGTAAGAAAAAAAATAATAATTTACCTACCTACCTACTCAACTTGAAATTTTCGGGTCGGGTTAGGGGAAACAAAGATATTTTTAATGATGGCCTAGTATATAGCATATAGTATATTCATTTCCAATCTGAAATTAAAGAAGTTAAAAGTGAGGCATAAATTTTATTTTTAAAAGGAATTTTGAAAAGAAAGTTTTTGTGTTCAATAAAAATAAAGAAAAGAGAAAAAAATGTTTCAAACTTTGGGCTCCAAAATGGTCTTTGGATGAAAATAAAAATTCGGAAATCGCACTGCACATCTACTTTACAACACATATAGCATTCTAAATTTGTTTCTGCTTCATATTTAAGAGGAGTTCTGGAAACCAGGTTTTTGTAGAAAAAAATTCTTTTTCGACTGTAATGATGAAAAATGATGTATTCTTAATCCTTATTGCACATTAACTGGACATCAACAATCATATTCAATAAGATGATTTGGCTACTGCATAAAATGTAATGGAATCATCATCATTTTCAACCCCCTAACCCCTCCTTATTGACATCTACAAGTTATCATCAATTAAGAAATAAGGTATCATTTTTAGAGTTTCATTGGGATCAAATATGGAGATAACGAACAGTAATCAAGCTCAAAAGTCCATTCAAACAATATAAATCGGGAGCAAAAGGAAACACGGACTCTAAAACCATCAGAGGTGGGATCAGATACCATGGAGGAGTAAGCATCCCCAGCCGACACGTCCTACCCGCCGTGTGCTCCTTGTCATGATCGGGAAAACGGACAATCCGTAGACAATATCCTTAGACAATTCAATGTGTAAATAATGGCCTAAAAATTAGTATGAAAAATGTCAGTCAGCATTCGACTTAATAATAGATTGTATTTGTTGACAAGATCATGGTATCGACCATAGAACTTCCAAAATGATGACTTCAAACGAGACTGTTGATATTCTTGTTCCTTTAACTTGTTTGTCAATAGCTTGCCTCGTTTTAGAAATTGTTCGTATGTAGAGCATGCTTTTGCGTATCGAATTAACTGGCAGACATAAATCCCATATACAGGTGATAAGTGTATATTGCTACATACGTAAAGGAAGTTGACAATAGAAAAGTTGAAGTCATCAATTTATCATAAAGCTTTGTTGTTAGATTACCATTAACGTCTTTATCATGTAAATATCCAGATATGAAACGGAGTGTCAGACCCTGTGGTTTCTTTATTTCAAGTTCACTGAGATATATCGATATGACATCAAGTTGGTCACGTGATCAAATCCTATAATGCCCGAAGGGCGTTATAGTAGATGAGGCTTCAGGGCCACCAACGCTGAGTTTTTCTCAAATCTGAGATTTTTGAGTTTCTCTCCCCAGACTGTGCCACCAAACACAAATTTTCTCAAACTCAGACTAGTCTTTTGAGTTTTTTCTCAAATCTGAGATTTTTTCTCAAGTCTGAGATTTTTCTCAAATATGCGTGCCACCAACGTTTTTCCCGACTTAGCTGAGAAAAAATTCTGAGATTTCTCAGAAAATCTTGAGATTGATGTATACCAGTCTCAAACAAAATCTCACAAAATTATTTTATGGTAAAATGATCGCAAATGTTACGACAGTGCACATTTTAATCCATGAATACACGAAATTATCATACAAGCCCAGAAAGAATGTTAATTTCTCCCAAAACTTGATCATCCTGTAAGGGGGGAGGGGGGTATTTTAATTACGCACATGTAAATACTCTTATTATAATATTTTCCAGGCATGGAATCAAGCACTTTAAACTTTACTAAAAAGAAAAATATTAATGATAACAAAGAAAAAAGAAAGAATTACTTTACAGGAATATTCTAGTGACACTTTATACATATCATGTACATGTATATCTTCATTCATTCAGGAATTAATTTAATTAATAATTAATTAAATCCATATTTTAGAGTGCTATTTGTGCCATGGCAAATTTATTACATGTAATTTGCAATATCCATGTATATCAGAAAAGGAAATATGACTAGATAAAATGTCAAACCTACCCAGACCCTTCTTTGTTTTTTTTTTCTCCGGTAGCTATATTTTACTTTACAATATACTTATTCGTGTAAATTATATGCAGATATTTAAAGAAATCTGTCAAAAATTCCATGAACAAAGATTTTGTTCTTTCGAAATAATATATAAATCACCATTTATTTCACTGTTGATAGCAGTCTGTCTAATTTGGTTCTTAAATAAATCTATAAAATTCTTAATTGAGAATTGGGATCGACTTTATATATAAATAATACTCACAATACATTGTGCGTAAACTTCTATTCTTGACTGTTTATATTATTTATAAGAATAAACTTGACTTATGACCATTCTGAGGTACATGTATAAATCACAACAAAAACTGCATATATTCAACTGCACTCGGCCGAATGGAATTTAAAAAAAAAAAATATTTTTTTGTGCAAGTAACATTTTAAATTTAAAAAAAATATGGACCGTAGTTGTTAC